AGAATTGGATGAGAACATGGCGATCAAGGGCCTAGGATGAGCCCAGCACACAGTAGGTGTACACTAAGCATCCCTTCCTGTCCCCCCCCCCCCCCCCCATGCTCTTTACCCTTTCCTCTACATTCTCTTGACAGCGGACAACCACAGCTAATCACATCACCGCAGTGAGGGACTGACTAATGTGAGCCAGAGGGGACTGCTCACTTCCCGATCTGTCACATGCCTGGGGTTCTCACCAGCCTCCCCGGTGGCCCGTTTTCTCAGTGACATTCACTGCTGACTCACTTGGTTTGTGGTCAGCTCTAAACCCAGGGTCTTTTTCAGCTCTCCGTTTACCCCACCACCACTCCCCAGCTTGGACTTGTGGCGTGAGAATGAGATCATTATCAGAGAACCTTCTGTTTAGGTGGCCCTTCTCAAGGAGCCAAAAGCATTGCTAGACTGGCGGCTTCATGAGGACAGGGGCCGTGTCTCCCTCGACTGCTTCCATTTCCCCACCATGTAGAACACTACCTGATAGGTAGATACTGAGTAAATATCTGTTGAATGAATTCGTATGTTTTGAACTGGTCCCTGTCTTCCAGGAGATTCCCACCTGCCCTGGGGCAGCATCCTCGGAAAAACAAATAAGCAAAACCTTGAGACTCTAATTTACCAATAAGTGAGCTCTAAACTGATTCCCACAAGTACAGGGCAGTGGAAGGACCGTGGCCCACGGACTCGGACTTGCGTTTGGACCTCAGTTCTGCTAATCATTGGCTGGGTGCTTTGAACTAGTTGCCTCAGTCTTCTCCCTGGAGAAATGGGATTTCAGTATCTGCCAGGGTTAGTAAGAGAATTAACTGTGTATGTGAAAGCGCCTGGCACGGGCTGGAAGCGATCTTGGTTAGCATCGTTCCCTCTGTCCGGAGCACCCACCTCCTGTAGTTTGGTTCAAGTCTTAGCTCCCCTCTTGGACCTCTCTTCATCCAGCCTTCCTGCCCACCCCCACTCCCACCCCCTGCCCCCAACAAAGACATACTCTGCCTGACACCCAGCACGCTCAGCAAACGTTGTGAAGCCAGCACCTCACAGTTGGAGGCCTACGGGGACCAGGCATGTGTGAAGAAAGCAGGCTGGACGGGATTTTTAAGTGAAATCTCCCCCTTTAAAATTCTTTTTTTCATTTCCATTAAATTAAAAAGAATGTTTTAACTTTTCATTTTGAAATCATTCAGACTTGGAAAAAGAAGTGTAAAATTATTGTGAAGACTTCCCAGTACCCTTTACCCAACCTTCCCCAAATGTTACATAACCAAAATATCGTTACCAAAACCAGGGAAATGACACTCTACAGTCCTGTTAACTAATCTGCAGATCTTATTCAAGTCCCGTCTCTTGTCACTCTGATGTCCTTTGGCAGATGCAGACATCTCGCATGATTTGGTCATCGTCTCTTGTCTCCTCCAGTCTGTGACAGTTCCTTAGTCTTGTCTTTCATGACCGTGACACTTGACAAATGCTGGCCAGTCATCTTGTAGAATGACCCTCAGTTTGGATTTGTTTGATGTTTTCTCATGATTCATTTGAGGTTGTGTGTTTTAAGCAAGATCCCCGCAGAGCAATGGCGTGCCCTCCCCAGTTCGTCATATCAGGAGGCACATGACATGTCTCCTTACTGGTGACACTCACTTTGGTCACTTGCTTAAGATGAGGTCTGCCAAGTTACTTCACTGTAAAGTTACTCTTTTTCCCTTTGTAATTAATAAGTATTTTGTGGGGAGGTACTTTGAAAGTATGTAAATATCCTGTTCCTCATTAAACTTCTGATTTATTCGTTTCTTTATATCTGTATAGCCTCCTGGCTTCCTATTTCATCCAGTGGGTTGTAATCTGTTCCTCTCACTAATGATTTCAGTGCTCCTAGTGTCCATTCTTTGGTCAGTGGGGGCCCTGTTAAGCTGGCTTCTTGTCCTATAGACATGTCCCTATCATACTTTGAACACTTTCCTGCTTTCTGACATAAGAATATGCTCCAAGTTCATCTTGTATTTTTCCTGCCCAGCCCTGGAGTCAGCCGTTTCTCCACGGAGCTGATTCCTTTGAGCAGAGAAGGATATTTAGACGCCAAGATTTGAGTGCCAGATGTGCTCATTGCTATGGGGCCGTCACTGTTCCTGGACCCCCTCCATGGAAAGAGCTAGGACAATGTATGTGTATGATGTGTCCACACACGTATGGATGCTTCTATATTTCTGCATATTGAAAGTCATGAATTCACACTGATACCTCCGTGTCCACTCTTGCACCACAGGCTTTATTCTGCTTTCTCTCTGTTTATACCTCCCTTCCCCAACACCCCATTATCCTCACTATATTTACATATTTGATCAGTCCCCTGTGTGTAACAGTCTCCCACTCGCCCCTCCTCACCCCTATTGGGTTCTGACACTCCGCCCCAGGCCACCCCCACCTCCTCACCTCGAGCAGCCTCCAACTTCCCACAAGGCTCCCAGATTTTTTTGTTTTTGAGGAACATTAGCCCTGAGCTAACATCTGCTGCCAATCCTCCTCTTTTTGCTGAGGAAGACTGGCCCTGAGCTAACATCCGTGCCCATCTTCCTCTACTTTACATATAGGATGCCTGCCACAGCATGGCTTGCCATGTCCGCACCCGGGATCTGAACTGGCAAACCCCGGGCCGCCGAAGTGGAACGTGTAAACTTAACCGCTGCATCACCGGGCCGGCCCTGACTCCCAGTTGTGAAATGATGGTTCATATATTTTTTGCTGTGGGGCCCATGTTCCACCGGTGGGTGCTCAAGAGTGACCTGGTATTAAGTGGACCAGGAAACTGGATTGGGATTCCCTCCCATCTCTCCAGCCTCCGCTCCATCTGTTCCTGTCCCAGCGCTACTGCAGGTTAACGCAGTGCCCATCATGTCAGGCTCGGTCCTCCTTGTGGCCTCTGCCCTGCTCTTCTCATCCCCTGGACTGCTCTTTGCCTCCACCCACCCTTCCTCCTGTCCTCCTGCTCTGTCCAGATATCACCTCCTGCAGGAAGCTTCATGGACCCCCCAGGTGCCCCTTTCTGGGTATCTCCAGTGCCTCCAGCTAACCCCTGATGGAAAACCACTGCATGCTCCCTCTGTGTCCTTCTTTGTCTCTGCTGCTAAACTATAGGTACACAGGGTGATTTTATCTCCATGTCCCTAGTGCCTGAAAGTAGGTGCTCATGAGTGGTCGTCAAATGAGCATTAATAAGAGTAAGAGCAGATACTCACATAGCACTTCCTGGCGCCAGGCATGGGTCTGAGTGCTTTATATGCCCCAAGTCATTTGCCACTAAACCCTGTGCTGTGAGCTAGTTGCTGTCATTGCCCCCATTGTACAGACAGAGGGACTGGGGCACGGGGAGGTTAAGTGACGTGCCCAAGGTCTCACATTCGTGGAGTTCCACTCGAGCTCAGGCAGGCTAACTCTGCAATACCTGCTCTGACCTCTCTGTGCCTGTCAAAGTTGAAGGGGTTAGCGTTTTCAGAATAAAGGAGGCGAGTGGGTTTGAATGGTTCAGTATCATGAACCACCCCCATCACACTCCCAGCCTGGTTTCTAGTGCCCTTGGGGCCCAAGCACAGGTGAGTGGTGGCTGAGCAGACAGGAGAGAAGGTGGTACTTTTTAATTTGGCAGCCTATAGGAATTTTTTCTCCCCTGAAGTCTTACGAAACTGAGCACGTTCCATGTGAAATTAGAGTGAACACCCAGGAGTCAAGTATCAGATCTTATGCAAGATTTCCAAGTCATTGCATGGGAGTTAGCAGGGCATACATTGTTTCTCAATCACCTAAGGGAAACCAGCCTGCCACCCCCGGGGCTGGAGCAGCTGCCTCTTCACTCAGTGGGTTCTGCAGAGGGCCGGGGAGCACTGTGGGCGTGGAGCTCTGTTGATTGAACCCAGCTATGTGGGAACCGTCTGCTCAGGTTCAGTGAAGGGAAGGAAGCCAAGTGCGTGAGGAGCCTGCCCTGTGGACCCTGTATGTCACATCTTCCACAGACATGTATTCCCTTACTCCTCAGTAGCCTGGCAGGGTCTCGCAGTAGTAGGCCCATTTTTACAGAGGAGGAAACTGAGGCTCAGAGACGTTAAGTCTTTTGCCTGAAGTCACACAGCAAAGAAGAAGACCAACCAAGATTTGAACCCAGAGTGGTCTGATTCCAGGGTCTTGACTCTCAAACAGCTGGCCAGAATTACACCCATATCTCTCTGAGTCCAAAACCCCAAATTCTTCCACCATACCCCACGACCCCTGTCTGCTCTGGTGGGATCCGCATGAAAGAACGGCGTCTGCTGTGGGTCTGGGACGGAAACCCATGTTACATGGGAGCCAGAGCCGTCACGAGCAGCTGCTGAGCCTGCGGGCCCCAGGCAGGATTTTGTGTTCCCCTCTGCCTTGGAGCTGAGGAGGATCTCCCAGAAGCAGGAGCTGGGGAAGAGGAGAGTGGGGAGGGGCAGGGAGGAAGGGGAAGAGGGGGTGGAGAGGTGACACCTTGCAAGCATGCAGGCTGTCACAGAACTCGGGAAAGACTGCGCTTCCCTGTTCCCTTCAGCGTCAGAGGAACCCGAGCCCGGGGTTCAGTTCATCGCACAAACTCCTGCTGAGTCGCCTTCTGTGAACCAGGCCTCTGCTGGGTCTGGGGATGGGGTCGGGGACAAAACCCAACCAGGTCCCTGCCCTCATGGGTCCCTCATTACATTCTCATGGGGGGAACACCAACCAAGAAGTGTAACCAAATGAGGGGTCAAGGTCGTCTTGGGGGGTACAGTGTTGTGAGGGAGTGCGATAGGGCTGTGTGGGGTGCAGGGTCCCATCAGAGGGGTGTCCCGCAGGACTCTCAGAGGCGCTGGTTCTGGGAGGAAGCGCGGCCTGCAACCTGTGTGGCACACCAGCCACACCATTTCCCCTGCTGTCTGCAACCCGCCCTGTGCGCCCCCTCACCCCGTCCCCTTTGCTCTCCGCAGGTTTGACATCTACAGGAAGGTGCCCAAGGACCTTACGCAGCCGACGTACACCGGGGCCATTAGTGAGTAGCCGCCCTTCTCACCGTTGCCCCCCCCCAACCCCTCCCTGCTCTCCCTGTGCAGAACGCTGGGCCAGGGAGGGAGGAAGGGATGGGCATCTGCCAGGCCCTTCATATGGTGCCTCATCTCGTCTCTGTCCTCACTGGAACCCTGCAAGCTGCAGGCATCATCTGTTTCTGGAAGGAGATGCCAGAAACCATCAATAGTAGCTTCCGTGGGAGAGGAAACGGGGCTCAGGGGTGGGAGGGAGCCTGACTTTTCTCTTCATACCTTTTAGACTATTTGAGTTTTTGACATAAGCATGTTTCTATCCGTTTTAAAAAAATAATAATCTCACCCAGATTTTGGTTTCCAAATGCCAGTCTTCAATAAAACGACCCAGGGCTCCGTGGAGAAATGGCTGATTGCAGGGCTAGGGCAGGAAGGTTACAAAATAAGCCTGGAGCACCTTGTGCCAGCAAGCAGAGAAGCGCTCGCAGCCAGAAAGGATGGGGCCGTGTCAGCAGGACACAGGAGCCAACCTGGAAGAGACCAAAGACCAACGCTGGGCGATTCGAGTAACAAAATAAATAACGGCATTATTGGCTTATAACCCAAAGAATGAAGGAAAAGGTCCATGAGTCCATACTGGTCTAAGGAAATGGAGGAGAAGGGCTGAGTCTTCCTTACAGAAGAAGTCCAAACGGTATACGTGACTCCATCCCCCTCCAGGAGGTAGAGTGCGTTCTCCTCTCCTGGAGTGTGGGCGCACTTGGTGACACGTTTCCAAAGAGTAGAGGGTGGAAAGGGGAAAAGTAAGCTTCTGGCGGAGAGACCTGGGCTGCAGCTTAGCCGAGCGCTGGAGATCAGCGTCAACCGGTGAGGAGTAATGAGGACGTCACACCCCCTCGAGAGGATGCAAGGGGAAGGGCACCCCAAAACCACAGCCCAGTCTGATCAGGAGAAAATGTCAGACAACCCCAGTTGGGGGACATTCTACAGGACACCTGACCAGTGCTCTTCAAAAGTGGCAAGGTCTTGAAAACCAAGGAGAAACTGAGGAACTGTCATAGTTCAAGACCAAGGACGCGTGACGATTGAATGCAAAGTGGGATCCCACGCGGGTCCTGGGACAGGGCGTTAGTGGGGAAACTGCTCTGAGTCAGTCTGCAGCTCCATCGATAGTGTCATACAAAGTTGCTGTCTCCATGGGGCACGTGCTGGGGTTCCGCAGGATGTTAACGGAGGGAGAAGCTGGGGGCAGGGCATGTGGGAACTTGCTGTACTGTCTTTGCATCTGTTATTACTCCACAATAAGAAGTTTATTTAAAAAACAGTAAAAAGCAAACCCAAAGTGCCATGCAAGCAGAAGTACTTTACCCTCATTTTCCAGGTGAGAAGATTGAGGCAGAGAGGTGAAGCGACTTGTCTGAAGTTTCACAGCTCGCAAAAGGTGGGCCACCCTGCACCCTGGCGGAGGAGGGCCCCTCCCAGCAGACTGTCCCCCGATCCAGGGCTCAGGGCCAGGCAGTCAGGGTGGCGTCCACAGATGCCTCCCAGGGCAGGCCATTGTCAGGTAGGGGGATGACCTCAGGGATCCCCTCACCCTGGCTGGTCCTGCTCTGGCTCTCCCCGCTCCAGCTCAGCTGTTGAACCTGTGGATGCCTTCTTGAGTCCTGTAGCTCCACATGCCTGGGGAAGGGAACAGGGCAGCCAGCAGCAGGATGCATGTCCCACAGGCTGGGGTCCAGCAGAGCTGGGTTCACGTTCCCATTTAGCAGCTGAGTGACCTTGGGCCAGTCACTTCACCTCTCTGAGCCTCAGTTTCCTGATCTGGGGATTAAATGCGATGGCACCTGTCAGGTGTGTGTGCGTGCCAAGTCCTTGGTGCATGGATGACACTCCTTTTCCTGTCACTGTCCTCCTGGGGCCCACAAGGCCTATGAGGGTCTGTGACACTTTGTGCATTGATGCTCACAGAAAGGAGATTCGGGACGTGAGAGGAAAGGGGCTTGTTCATCTATCTGTTCAAGTAGTTCAGGAACCTAGTCAAAAAAGTTCAAATGAGGCTTCTGGTCCCCTTCCTACCGCCAGCCAACAGCTCAAACCTCCTCTTGGCTCTCTACAGTCTCTCCCTTGTCAAGAATGTTTAACAATCAGGTGTGTGTCCTTCTAGAATTTTCTAAATATGTGTTCAGTCTTTGATATACCTGTGTCGTCGTTTTAAGCACAGACGGGAGCTCCCTGCACACACCGTTCTTCCCTGTCCTTTCCTCAGCGATGTGTCCACCTCTCACACCAGCGCATCCACGGCCACCACGTTCCTTTTTCCAGCTGTGTCAGTCCCTTATCTGGGCGACCCACGGTTTATGTAACCAGCCCCCTGACGGTGGACATTTCCGAGTCCTGTTTATTGCTATCACAGACGTCCTTGTCCATATATTTTTGTATCCTTGTATGGTTCTTTCTGTAAGGTAACTTTCCTAGAAGAGGAATTACTGGGTCAAAGGGCATGTGCATTATAAAATTTAGAAGGTACTGCCAAATGGCCCTCTGGGGACGTGACGGCGAATTCCCCTACACCAGAGGAAAGACGTGAGGCATGACAGGCCAGCCCTTAGCTACCACTTAGTGAACAAATATTTATTAACCAGGTCCTGGGGCCAGGCCCCGTGCCAAGTCCTGGGACCACGCTGATGAACAGGCTTCACTGTTTGTCCTTCAGGAGTGCACGGCTGAGCAGGGCAGGCAGACGCAGAAACCCATCTTGCATTACGTCATAATAAGTGCTATTAATAGCTGGAGGCGCTAGCGAGGGCGCTGGACATTCACAGGTCGGGGTTTGAATTCTGTCTCCTCTGCTTAAGCGGCCGCGTGGCCTGGGACAAATTCCTTGACTTCCCGGAGTCTTGGGCCTTGGGTCCAGCGCCCCCTTTGCAGGCTGCACCAGGTTTCCCACCAGCAAGCCTTCTCCTAGGAGGATCACATTCCTCCTGCCCAGTCCTGAGTCAGTTCGGAAGAAGTCTGCAGTCAGACGGCCTGAGCATCTTGCCCAAACATGGGCTGAAAACCCTCATCAAGCCTTCAGTCTCAGAGGCCTTTCTGGGTGAAATACTTCCTACCTGTCTTCGTGTGTTTCATTTATCCATTCAGCAAACAATGACTTCGTACCTTCTCCGAGACAGGCACTGTGCTAGAGCCTGAGGTCACAGTGGTGCTGTCACCATCTCTGTCCTCCCAGTCTGGGGACGGGTTAGGGGAACAGACACAGAACGTGGATGATGAGGGCTACTGGACGTTTGGGTTTCAGCTGAGCGGCCTCTGTGCTTATCATGTCCGCCTTCTGGGCTGACCAGGCTCTGTTCCAAGCTTTGAGCCAAGAACGTGGGTTTCAGCAAGAAGCCTTCCCAGCCCCTTCCCACACCTCTGCTCTGGACAGAGTTGGAACTTTGGGGCCTGTTGGGAGGCTTGGGGCAAGGAAGGGCAGCTAGAAGACCTCGATCTGACCTTCAGAAACACCTCCCCTTTTGTGTCCATTGCCCATTACAGCAGCCACGGGGTTGTCAGGGCTTGGGCGCGAGGGGCAGGAACGTGATTCTGCAGCGTGGGGCCTGTGGGTGATGCACAGGAAGGGTTCCAGCTTCCAGGGGAGGCTGCTTTGCCCGTTGAGTGGGATTCTTTTCCAGAGAGCGTGGTAACTGCGTTTGCAGGTGAGAGGCGGAGGGGCACGAGTTGGGACGCTTGGATTGAGAGCCAATCTCCTGCAGCGGGTTCGTTCAGCAGCTGGAGAAGGCACTGGAAAGGAATTTCCATACCATAAAACAAACACACATGGTCCCTCTGCATGAACTGAAGTGGCAGCTGCCAAGACGGAGACCGCTGCGTGAGCAAAGCACGGTTGGAGAGGATGCGGACGTTACGCTGCCGTTGGCTCAGAGGAGAAAGGATTTCTACGTCTATGCTCATGTGTGTGTGGAAGGACCCAAGACTGTAACAGCAGCGTCTCTGGGCCGGAATTTGCAGATCAGGAGTGAGAAAGAGGCTTGCACAGTATGCCTTTTTATACAAGCTTGACTATTTTTCTATCATGTGCATGTATTACTTCTTCAAAAAAAAGGGTAAACCCTTAAACTCCGCCCCATCCAGCTTTTTCAAAGTTTGGAACAGTTTGGGAGTAATTCTAGTGTGCCCCTTGTCTTGGAAGCTGAGTGAGGACTCTGGGATTCTGTGCCGTCCTCCACTTAGAGCCCAAGTTCTTGGGATTCCCCTTCTTAGGGCATTGGTTCCAGAATGCACAAGTTCTGGTCCTGTCCCACCACCATCCACTGTAGCCCCGGGCCAGTCTCTTGCTGTCTCTGAGCCTCCATTTCTATACTCTTGGCATGGGCTCCTGCCCCCTGTCAGGTGGGAGCGTGAGATGATAGGGTGTCCATTGACGCTCCCACAGCAGGTGCCCAACCAACACAGCTTGTCTTCCCTCTTCACGGGGGACACGTCGTTGTTCATTTTAAGATAGATGATGATGATGATGATGGTGGTGGTGGTGAGTAGCTGGTCTCAGGTCTGTCATGATGGTTCAACCACTCCAGGTCGGGCTGTCAAGAATGTAACAGAATCAGCAAGTGGGACTGGGAACTTTTTTTCTTTGCAGAAACTAAGGGTCAACCAGTCTGTCAATCACCTTCCCCAAATTGCCAGACCCTCCAAGGTGTCCCTGATGAAAGTCCTAAAACTGAACTGATACTTGAGCCGTGATTACCTGCTGGGCACTATTTCAAGCCCTGTGTTGTGGAAATTCTCAGAGTAGCCCTGTAAGGCAGGTGCTACCACTGTTGCCATTTTACAAATGAGGAAACTGAGGCAGGGAGAGGTTAAGTAGCTTACCCAGGGACACACAGCAGGTGAGTAGTGTGGCCACACCATGTGAGCCCATGCCCACTGTGTGCCTCTGTGGTTAGCCCAGACAAGGCATGCTCAGTGCTCATTTCATGCTCTGGGGAACAGCTCCCTGCCTTACATGACACCTGTCGTTGCCTGCTGTGTGCCCAGCCCCGGGCCAGGCACTGGAGCTGTGGAGTGTTTGCCCTAGTGAGAGAGACAGCCACGGATAATCGATAAAGTGTGGAAAGTGTCAAAATAGAGGCTGGGAAGACAGGAGCAAGAGTGACCAGCTCCACCTCTGGGGGTCGGGGGAGCTTCCCACCAGAAGGGACATTTGAGTTGGGCCTCAGCCTGGGAGGATGAGTAGGAGTTCGCCATGCAGAGAGGGTCACCATGGAGGGGGAGGGAAGATGGGGAAGTTCACTCCAGGCAGAGGAACTGCGAGAGCCATGTTGAGGGCACAGCATGTGGCTCGGGGTGGCCGGGGGGCGGGTGTTGGGGGAGTGTCAGGAGCTGAGGCTGGAGATGGGTTGATGGCCAGACCCCAAAGTGCTTGTTATGTCCTGCCCCAAGGAGTGACTCCAGGAGCCACAACTCCGACACCATCAGGGGCCAGCCAGGCAAGGTTAATACGAGTGAAGTGGCCAATCCTAGCACTCTGTTCCACTCTCTCTGCATTTCAGACTTGTAGGACCACTCTTCACCTCCATAAAGAATTGTCCCTTCTCTTGAAGCACAGTGCTTGGTGTCCTCATTTTCCTACTTCTGATGGGGACACGGACAGAGGTTGATGGCACCACTGGGGGGGGTGGTAAATGGCAGCAGACATTCGACCTCGGCCTTGGCATCAAGGAGGCAGGAGGAAGTGGTGAGGCCTGCGGCAAAGTGCTGAGCTCAGACCCCGTGGAGGAACAAGGGCTCAAGTGTTCTAGAGCAGCGAGAAATCTGGACTTTTATGTGAAATCTCTCTGATTGTTCAGTAGCGACTCCAAATTTTAAAATATATATCACTCGAGCCAAAGAGAATATGTTTGTGGGCCACCGGTTTGCAACCTCTGTTTTTGACTGACCTCTGTGTTAAAGAGCTTTTGTGGAAGAAAGCTGGGCTGGCCCCCAGGAGGGTCTGCCTGTGTCGGGGGTCGGTCCGCATGGGAGGGTCAGATCAGTGCCAAAGGCGGTCTCCCTTCCTGGGAGCTAGGCTGCTGCATATTGAGGCCAAGAATAGGAAGGGGCTTCAGAGGGTCTGCGGGCCCCCCTCCAAGCAGGTTTTCTCTGAGGCTGGAGGGTGGGTGCCAGCCTCTCTGCTTCAGTGCCCACCGCCCTTAACTGTGCGTCTGTGTTGTTTCTTCCAGTCTCTGTCTGCTGCTGTCTCTTCATCCTCTTCCTCTTCCTTTCGGAGCTCACCGGATTTATAACGACGGAAGTGTAAGTCACATCCCCCCTGGTGGCCTGTTCCAGAGCCTTCTGGGACCCCAGTTAAGAAGAGGGAGGGGCTTTAAAAGAACAGAAACCTCGGGAACTTCCAACTCCCGTTTCCAAGCCCGTGGTGCCCGTCACTCCTCCGTTTCTTACAAGGGTTTTAAAGTTAGAGCAGAAGTGAACGTTGCCATGTTAAAGCCGAAGAAAACATGTTGGCTTCCTCTGCGGGGGGCCTCCTGGGCCGCAGATGAACAGCCATCGTTTGTCATCTTTGCCATCCCTGTGTTTGGCCAGTGGGCCTTTTTCCCTCTGAATCATCACAGGGTCATTTGATGTTAAAGCTGGAAGAGTTCAGAGAAGCGGGTGCAGCTTGCTAGCCGAGGGGGGCGAGGTTGCTGACATCAGAGCCTGGCCCCTCAGCGAAGCCCCCTTGCCTGTCCTCGGGCGCACTCTCGGTGAGGAGTCAGTGTGGCTTCCTGGCAGCGACTGACGCACTGTGAGTCCATCTCCGATTCCTAGAATCATTCATTGTCTGGATAACCTAGTAAACGCTCCGGGGTGTGTGTAACACAGAATGCCATCGGAGTTATTCAGTCACGGACTCATCCGACGCCCCTCTGAGACGGAGTCAGACCCAAAAGCTTCCTGCCTTTGCCACTGGCCGGAGGCTTCCAAGCCTCTTCGTTTCCATGTTTACAACCCAGAACGTCATCCTGGGGCTGGGCCCGGGCCACCCACTCCCTGTCCAACTCTGGAATTTCTGGGTTTCCTTTGCCTCCCTCTCAGCCACGAGACAGTAGGAAACTGGAAACACAGCTGCTTAGCCCAAGGTCGTCCTCGTGGCTGTAGCCGCGTTACCCCCTTTAATCTGCAAACAGCCCTGGGAGGTAGCTGTCCCCGCTTTACAGATGATGAAACTGAGGCTCAGAGAGGCGGGGGCTTGCCCACAATTGCAGGGTTAGGCCTGCTGGGAGCATTTGGGAGCATTTGTCTTCCCTGTCCCTCTCATCCTCTTTTTAACCCTCGTGGCACCAAAGCTCAGGGGGCTTCATGGAGTGGTGGAAAGAGCACTGGACAAGGCATTGGGAGACCCAGGGCCAGGTCTCTGCTCAATTACCACTTTGCTCTGTGACCCTGGGCAAATTGCCAAACCTCTCTGGGTCTCAGTATTGCTGGTCCAACAAGGGAGGGCAGATCAGAGTCACAGCTCCCATCCAGGCCTGGGGAGGCTTGTCTGCTTCCCAAGATGTGACCCCTGACCATGCAAGGGTCAGAGAAAGGACTTGGTCCCCCCCAGCCCCTAAAGGGGAATGACTGAGTCAAGCACCTTCCCCTCGTGTGTATTTGGGCCACTAGACGTCCCAGGGGCCCCCCCATCACGAGTTGGCGGTGGAAGCAGAGAGAGCAGTGAGAGATTGAGACCCGCTGCCATTATGAAGGACCTGCTGTGTGCTAGGCACCTGCTGGTCTCTCCAGGCTGCATCCCGTTCCCTGGGAGGAGGATTACTGTGCAGGCCCCTCCTGTTCTGAGCAAGGTGAGAGGGGAAATCAGTGACAGCAGCAAGAGGGGAGCCCCAACTGTGTCCCAGGTACCAGTTGGGAGGCTTTACGTGTTCCTGGTAGGGGCACTACCAAGTGCAAAGGCTCTGAGGCAGGAATTACCTGGTGTAGGTGAAAAGCAGAAAGAGCTCGTGTGGCCAGAGCAAAGTGAGCAAGCAGGGAGGGTAGAACATGGAGTCGGTGGAACCGAGTCAGGCCAGGCCCTGGACACTGCTGTGTGTTAATGGGCATCTTCCTTGGTCCCCAGCTCCCAGAGGTCAGGGGCCAGATCTGCCTCACTCACTGCCCTGTGGTTCTACACTCAGAGGAGCTGAAAATGTGGGCAGTGGACACCGATGGTCCCCAGGCAGACAGAGCTAGACTATGTCAATTCGTGATAAGAGCTCTGAAGGAGAAACAAAGCAGGGCAGGAGACGGAGCAGGCCTGTGATATTTCATGGGGCTTAAACAAGATTGTTTACCTGGAAGGTAATTAACATAGCATCTGATATACTTTAATAGCGATAGACCCACATGTCTTCGTGCATTTATTCATTCATAGTTATTCCCCACCTAAACTAAACTAAAAAGGTTGTAAGGCTGCAAAGGACCTTTCATGTCATCAGTGTTCCGTGTATGTTGATTTCCTCATGCCCTCCCGTGCCTCCTGCTGACGTTGTTGGGGGCGGCTTGTGATCCTCAGCTCGGCCCATAGCGAGGCGTGGTGCTGAGGCCGAGGGCCCCTGACCGTGAGTTCTGACATCAGAGCTTGTGACTAGAGCAGGTGGGGCCCCACCTGGCATGTGGAGGGCCCCTCCAGCAGGCCTGACGGCTCGCTCCGCTTGCCCTGCGCAGGCCTGCTGCTCCTAAGAGCACGGTGTGTTCCTGCCGCTCTGCCCCCTCGCCTTTCAAGGGCTTCCTCGTCCCGGCTCCTGGGGACATTCTGGATACTCGGATCCCACCACTTCCCCAGAGGGGAAGAAAGAGGGGGCAGAAATAAAAGCACGAGGGGCCATTCACTGACTCTTGGCCTTGTGTCCAGCCCTGGGCTAGTAAGCACTTCATTCACAGTGTGAGCGGCTGGAGAGGGAGGCAGGCGAGAATGAGAAGAGAGACCTGCCCGGGGCCAGAGGCTCCACCTATGACCGTGCAGGGACCCTAACACCCACTTCTCTCTGTGGCCTTGTGACCACAGTGCAGGAGTTACCAAATGGAGTGCACAGGGGTGAGGACTGAGGACTCCGCAGAAAAATCCACAGGAAAAAGGATTGCTCCTTTGGGGTCTTCCCTCTACCAGAAGCTTCTCTGACCCCTGGGAAGCCCTGCTAATGCAGAAAGAACCAAAGGTCACAATTCTTTTCCTTTTCTGGATGGCCGGCCCTCCCTGGTGGTTTTATGACCACAGTGGGTCAGCCCCCCCACCTCCCATGAGATTGTAACCCAAGGAAATGAGGTCACCGCTGTTGGATCACGGTCGCTCCAACCTTGGCCTGTGGTTATCAGTGACATAGGAGGCCATTCTGGCCCAGCCCAGTGGGGAGGGGGCCTGTTTGTTTGGGTGGCTGGACTCCAACCTGGGCTCTGGACAGGCCATTAGTTATCCTTGAGAAAGTGGCCGCACAGGGGGCTCTGAGGCCTTGTGTTTCCAGGGGAGCAGCCCAGCCCCTCTCTCCTCGGATAATGTGGCGGCAGAACATTCCAGCCTTCGACTGTCCAGGCTCTGGCTGCTCTTAACTGTTACCCTGATGAGGCTTTATAATAAGAAAATGTAGTAGCTGGAACCCTCCATTGATAATTTATAGCATAATACAGCTCATCATCCTTTCCAGTTATGATTTATAATAGGTGGCCACGTGCCAGCACCTTTACAATGATCATCTCATTTAATTGTCCCAGAACCCCTCGAGTTAAGTACCACTATTGGCGTTAGTCCCACTGTGCAGATGGGGAAACTGGGCGCTCGGAGGCTGAAGCCACAATGGAGTTAGTAAGTGGTGGAGCCAGAGTGAAGCCCAGGTCTGTCTGTCGCCAGTGCCCAGACTCGGCACCCCAGCACCATCACCGGATCCTTTTCTGCCCGGAGCATTTTGGAGCCCCAGGCTCCTGGGAGCCACTGGTTTTGGTCAGAATAGTTGACCGGAAGCCTCGGATGCACCCTTCTGGGGTGCGGCGGCCAAGCAGACAGTCAGACCTCCAGGAAGCTGCTGCCCACCCACTGGGAGCTTGGAGGTACCTTCAGCTGTGTCCTCACTCTCCGGGGAACAGGCGCAGAGTGGGGAGGCCAGTAAGTAGCTTAATCAGCAGGAGGAGCTGGACGTCTCTCTCGGAGCCCAGGCTACCCGCTCTGCGGCCTGGATGTGAGCCAGGGCCGGGGGAGAGCCGTGGCTCTCACATGAAAGAGGAATGGGAGGCCTGAAGGCTTCTGAGCATGGAGTGACGGGATCGGGTTCCTCCCTGGGAAAGATCACCTCTTGTGAAGATGGGCTTGGGCTGGGCCACCCCGGCAGCCAAGGGCCTGGTGAGGAGGCTGGGCGATAACCCAAGGAGAGGGGCTGAGGGGTCAAGGGGCCGAGGGCAATGGCTGCGGAGACGGAGCTCGGGCAGGACCAGGTGGCTGCGAAGGGATGGTTCTGGACATGTACCTGGTAGGTAATAGGTGCACTTACTTATGCCTGGAATAGTCGGGGTGTAAAACTCTCCGGCCCTGGAGAGCCGGCTTGCATAAGCTCCATCCCTTCCTCCCCGCCACCCCAAGCCCTTGCTGTGGGCCTCGCTCCTGTGTAAGTTTCCATTAGATCAAATTATTAAGCATGGAGCTCAGTGACTTTGGGCAGGAATCCAGACTATTCAAGTGTTCTTCTAAAAGCAAATAAAATTGTTTTCCGTAGATGTCATCGGACTCACGCCTCAGCCTAGAATTTCAAGGCCACCTACGCTCCCCCACCCATACTTCCCAGTCCCTTTCTTCCTCTCTCCCTATGTGGCTACTGCTTACCGACCCCCACGCAGTCCACCTGACTTCTGACACTGTCTGGAGTCCCCACTCCCTCACCGGCGCACGTTGGTCACCTCCCTGGCTCATCCCACGGAGGCTGTGAGCAGGTGCTCTGTGCAGGGAGCTCTCGACCTGCTGGGAGTCACATGCTGCAGCCCACTGGGTGTGGCAGGTGGAGGCGATGGGGAGAGGGCGCAGAGGGAGTGTACCCCTTAGTACCTCCATGGCCTGTAGGGTGGGGTCGGGGTGGGCATCTGAAGATTATCAGAAAGATAATCTTGCATCACTCCTGCATCAGAGGTCCGCCTGGGGCCACTTGCTCCTCAGTTTTTCTTTGATTCCTGTCCTATCCATGTAGTGCAAGGGAAAGACAGTGGCTGTGGGCTCCAGTGGCCCTGGGTTCACATCCTGCCTCTGCCTCTTCCTGGCCAAGTGATCTTAGCCAGTCTTTTATCTGTCTTCCTCTGAGCCTCATTTCATCTTTGTGAAAAGAGAACAGTAACCCCTATTAAACACTGGCTTGCTGTGGGCATTAAATGAGGTGTTACCCGTCAAAGCCCCTAGCAGGGGGCCTGGCACCAGCTGCTCAGAACTGGGGCTTCTCCTTTGATTAGCTGTGGGTGAGGCTGGCTTTTCTGCGCCCCTTAGCATGTACGAGGGGCTGCGCTCAGCACCTTGCACACGTCAACACGTTTAATTCTCACCATAGTGCTATGAGGTAGGTACTCCCAGTACACCTGTTACCATCCACCCATGAACAATGATCTTAATGATAACAGTAGAAGTAGTGGACACTTACTGAGCACTTACTGTTTACTGAGGCTTTGCCGAGTCTGTGATTGTGCCCATTTTACGTCTGGGGAAACTGAGGCTGATTGAGGCAAAGCCCCTGGCACAAGGCCAATCGGCCGGTGGGTGGCAGAGCCAGGATTTGAATGCTGGCGGCCTGCACTTCCTCGTGATGACTTATTCTCTTTCCCTGGGAGAGCCTGTGCTGGAGAGCTGAGTAACAGACACACCCCTGCCTGGGGCAGCCTGCGGTCTCCACGGTCCGCACAGCACCATCAAGCAGCCAGAATCTTTAGCCCTTTTTTCTCCTTTCTCTCTTCTTTTCTCCCTGCCTCCCCTCCTTTTTTTCCTTTCCTTTTTAGTGAGGTGTAGGTAACTCACAAACAGCAGGGTGTACAAATCTTAAGGGTGAGACTGGATGAATGTTGGCCCATGTTTACACCCATGTCACCATCACCCCATCAAGACAACACACTTCCACCTGGGACATTCCCTTGTGCCCCCTCCCAGTCAGTAACCCCCCCACCCCCACTATTCTGACTTCTGTTACCGTAGATTAATTTTGCCTTTCTTCAAACTTCATAGAGAGCTTCCCCAGTTTTAAGGATGAGGAAACTGAGGCTCAGAGAGGTGAAGCAACTTGTCCCAGGTCCCCCAGCCTCTAAGTGGCAGAGCCAGGAGGTGAGCCCACATCTGTCTGCTGCCGCCCGACAGGCCTGCTCATCACCCACACTAGTAACAGGAGGAGTCAGGCCCACACGAGTCCCCACACAGCAGTGAATCCACAAGAAGCGTTCATTTTCCTTCTAGATGGGCTGATTTCTGGCATTTTAAAATCACTTCAGCCCAGCCAATAATTTTAGCTAGGCTTGGCAGGCACCTGCGACACTGGCCAGGGGGTGGCAGGAAGCCAGCAGCCTTGGAACATTTGCTTTGGACACGGAAGGCGGCCGTATTGACCTCAGTGGGTGGGCGGCTCAGGTGGTTGAACTGTGTGTGTTTATTCCACAGCCTGAGGCCCTTCAGGAAGGCGCCTGGGAGCAGCCGGTCCTGGCCTTACGTAACCCCCGCCTCCCGCCAACCCCCGGCCCCAAGCTCTGCAGGCTAGTGGGTTTCCCATCCCTCCGCAGCCCCTTTGTTTTGGGCAGCTCTTCAGCCCCTGGGAGCCAGTGGGCTGGGAGAGGCCTCCTGGGGCCTGGAGGCTGAGCTCACCTTGGCGCCACACCTGGGATTCACCTGGCTGTGCACCAGAGGATTGCCAGGGGGTGACATCATCCCTCAGTCCCTCAGTGGCCTCGCCTCCAGGTGGGAAAGGTGAGTCGCTTCAAGAAAGAGTCACTCACCCAGCAATCTTGTTACTCAACAGCCCGCCAAAGTTGCGAATTACGGCTGGGGTAGAAATTGGGCGCTGAAGGCTGAGGAGGAACATTTGGCTGTGGGGAAGTCGGTCCTCCCCCCGTGGAACCTCCTGTAATCCTGTTCACTCCTCCCGCGCTGGCTCATCTCTTCTTCCTGTCCTCTGATGTGGGCCAGTGCTGGGAGCCTGCCAAGCACAGGCTCCTGTCTCCCATCCCCACACCCTGGGGCCTCAGGGCCAGGGCCCTCTCATTTCTCCTTGGACCCTGGATGCTGAGGAGGGGAGGACGGGGAGGCAGCAGGAGCCCTGGAGAGCCTGGGGCCCAGGCCTGGGGCAGGACTCCAGCGCGGCCATTTCCTGCTGTGTATGCTTGGGGACAGGACTGACCCTCTTTGAGCCTAGTTTCCTGGTTTTAAAGTGGGGATCAGGGCATTTCACAGGGGCAGATGGGATAATGTGAATGCACATAGGCCTGACAGGGCCTTTCCTGGCTTCATGGGCTGGAGGCCCAGCAATCTGAAGGCCACTCTGCCTCTGTGGCTCTCTTGTCTCTGGGAACATCCCTGTGACCCCCACAAGGAAACGAGTCCCGGGTGTCCTTTTGCGCGCGCCGTTCCTGTTACTTGAGCAGCAGCTGCATCACACTAGGTGCTGGGGCACGAAGACAGGGTCTTAGTAAAAATGAATACCCTTGCCCTGGCTCCACTCCTTTTTTCCCAAGAAGCGGCCGTTTACAAGGCTCTCTTAGAGTCTAACTGTTTACAGCCAGCAATCCTTCTTTATTTTACAGCCTGTGGACAGCACCCAAGGGGCCTAATTAATGTTTAAAATAACCTCAGCCCAGCCACCTCAGGCACTGCCCCAGAGCTGCCCACTAGGCCGGGCTTTAAATTCGGTTCCCTCTCCCCATGGGCAGTTATCTGAGAATCAGAGGTGGGCTTCAGATACAGCCGTCCGATGTCCACCCAGCAACCCCTCAGGGGTGTCTCCAGAGCACCTCAAGCTCAGCATGGCCACATGGAACTCACTACTTTCCCACCCCACCAGTCCCACTCCTCTTCCAGGGGCTCCCAGCCCAATGAATGGTTCCAGAAAGAAACATGGCAGCCTCTGCATGCTCCCCTCAACCTACCGCCACACCCTGAGCATCAGCGAGTCCTGCCTGCTCTGGCACACCATGCCCTGCATTGCCCCCCATCCCTGCCACACCCAGTCCAGGCCGCCATCTCTCACCTGGACCACCGAAGCAGCCTCCCTTCTGGTCTCCCTAATGCATGGTGGTCCCTCCAGTCAGTCCTCCTCGAAGCAGCCAGAGGGAGCCTGTTAAAGGGCAGGCCTGTCCATGCCACTGCACTCAGGATCAAGACTGAAGGCCTCGCCGTGGCCTCTGAGCCCTCACTTGGCCCACGCCCATTCTCCGGCCACCTCCCATGCCATGCTTCCCTGTGCTCCACGCCGCAGTGACCTTCCTTCGGTTCCCCAAATGAGCCGTGCCCCCACTTCCTGGCCTCTGCACGTGCTGTCCCAGGGGTTCTCCCTCCCTCCTTGCCAGGACAGCCTCCTACCTCCTCAGAAAAGGCTGCCCAGCCTACTCTCCCCAGAGGTCAGTCACCCCGTTAGTCCCTCTCGTGACACCCCGCAGCTTTCCGTCAAAGTAGTAATCACAGTTGGCGTAAGGTGTTTATTTAGGAGATGAGTGGCGTCTGTAAGCTGGATGAAGGCAGAGACCACATCTGTCTGGGTCCTCACTGTCTCTAATGCCTGACTGGTGGTAGGTGCTCAAAAAGTATTTGTTGAATAAATGCATGTTGCTGACAGATCCCAATGTGGCACCCTTGTCCCCAACAACAAGGTGTCATGGCTGTCCACAGAGCCTCATGCCCCCAAACTGTGCCTCCCCCACAAAGATGTCCACGTCCCCATCCCTGAAACCTGTGACTATGTTACATTACGTGGCCAAAGGAACTTGACCAACGTGGTCACGTCAAGGGTCTTGAGATGGGCAGATGATCCAGGGTTATCCAGGTGGGCAGGATGAAACCACAAGAGTTTCTAAGAGGGAGTGAGGAGGTCGGAGAGGAGAGAAGATGCTCTGTGGCTGGCTGTATAGATGGATGAAGGGGCTATGAACTAAGGTGGCCTCTAGAAGCCGAAAAAGGCAAGAAAATGGGTTCTCCCCTGGAGCCTCCAGGAAGAGTACAGTCCTGCAGACCCATTTTGGACTTCTGACCTCCAGAAGTATAAGATAATAGATATGTGTTGTTTTAAGCCATTAACTTTGTGATGGTTTCTTACAGCAGCCACAGGAAACTAGTATGTTAGTCTAGTCATGTCTCAGACCCACTGCCTGCCCCAGGGCTTTGTGAGAGCTGGGACGTTGAGCGTGAGCACCCAGGGAGCTCCTGACTTCCCAGCTTGGAGGCGGGGAGGGAGCTCAAGAGAGTAGGGAGTAAGGTACTGTGTGCCTGTTGGTGCCAGGCCCTAATTCCTAGTAAGGCCCACGTTTCTCATTTAAGTGTTCAGACCACCCCATGGACAGTGGGTGGTTGTATCTCGTTAACAGGTGTGTTTGAAGAGGGGGTTCTCTGCCTAGGTTCACATAGAGGGCGACAGAGCCAGGACTGGAACTTGCATCTGCCTGATGCCAGAAAGCTCTGCTCTTCGCACCGCTCCGTCCCCTCCCTCCCAGTTGGAAGGCCAGCATTTGGAGAGCGCCCTCAAGATGGGAGCTCCCCTGAGCAGGCGCAGACTTCCCCCAGATGGGGCTCTGGGTTATCTCAGCAGTGGTCACCAAGTGAAGGGGTCCCTGGCCGTCCCCTGCAGCCGGTGGGGGCGGTGCCCTCATCTCAACGAAGCTTCTCTGCTTTTCTCCCTCAGCGTGAATGAGCTCTACGTCGATGACCCAGATAAGGACAGCGGGGGCAAAATCGACGTCAGCTTAAACATCAGTTTGCCCAATTTACACTGTGAACGTGAGTATTCCCGCCAGCCCTCTGCCCCGGCAGGAGGCCTCTGTAGGCAGAGCCGCATGCACGGAACTGGCGAGATGACCAGGACGAGTGAGGCGAACGGGGCAGGCTGCAACCAACAGGCAGCATGGGGTTCTCCCCACTCTTTTGGGGGAAGAATGTAATCAACTGTGCATACACTTGGAGGTTTCCTAGAATAAAAAAAATCAAGAAACTGCTAATGGATTACCTCTGGAGAGGAGCGGTGGTGGTGTGGGGGTGTTGCTTGGGTCCAGTTCCCCAGAAGCAGAGCCCGAGACTCTGCAGATGAGTTATTGAGGGAGAGCTCTCGGGAGAGCCTGAAGGGCCTGAGGGAGGTGAGAGGACCAGGGATGTGGGTACAGCCTGGTCCCACGGGGAGCTATGATGGGGGAAGACACCCCAGTTTGTGTGTGTGTGTGTGTGTGTGTGTGTCCGTCCATCCGTCCGTGTGTCCCTGGCATCCTTGGCTAATGGCTGCAGGGTGGTGTGTGCAGGAGGGTGGGGGTCACCTAACTTCTCAAGCATCTCAAGGCAAGGAGCCCTCCCACCCGCCGAGAGCAGACACCTGGAGAGGATGCGGCTCTGAGCTGTGAGCAGCCCATGGGGAACTTCCTTTTTTACTTCCTACTCTGTTTTGTTTGTTTTTTTCATTTGTTTCAACCATGAGAATGAGTTACTTAAACAAAACAAAACTCATGGGAAGTCTGGTTTGGAGTCACGTTCTGCCTCCTCTGCTCACTAGAACTGCATGACCCTGGTTGAGACAACCTCTCAAGCGTCCGTTTCCTCATCTGTGAAACGGGCTTCGTGCTGGTATTGCCTGAAGTTGTTGGGCAGATCTGATGAGCTGGCTCCTAGACTTGTTAGTGAGGGGACTGGGTGTCCCCTCCTGGACTGGGGTTCTAACCATCCCTCTGCCCCAGCCTGGCATGGAACCCGATGCAGGCCCTTCTCCTCCCCCGGTTTCCTTCCTACTGAGGGCAGGACACTGGGTGCGTCTGTGGCCAGCAATAGGGAGAGATTCAGTCCTGTTATTGCCTTTGCTGAGAATTATGTCACCGTTATGAATCCACAGTGGGCCCCGAGCCAAGCAACCTGTTGCAATGGATTGGTTTTATTTTCATTTGTTCTCTTTCTCTCAGAAAAATAATTCATCTGACAGCTTCTCATTCAGGAGTTGGTCGTGTCTCTGGAACAAGGAAAGTCTTAGTCAGGCCAGAGGACTGGGACCGGTGGGCCAGGGGAGGGAAGGGATGTGGTTCCAGGCTGCATCCCAGCTCTGGGCAGTGGCCCAGGAGGGACCAGACAATCTCAAGCTGCTGGCGCACCAGCCCACCCGGCCTGCTGCTCTGCGGGACCGTAACCTGAGCCCAGGCAGCTCCTGGTAGAGCCCCGTACCCTGGCTTTTCTTTAAAAGAACTTCACATTTTCATTATGGAAAAAAATGCATGCTCATCATTGTACCTTTGGAAAATCAGAGCAGCAACGAGAGAAGAAATCGCCCCTGATTCCACCCCCTGATGACAGCGTCGGTTCACTTGACGCCATCCCGCCCCGCTGGCCTTCCTCTCTAAACATGGCTGAGATCATGCCGCGTGTGCAATCTCATATCCTGCTTTTAAAAATAATATTTTTTGTTACACAACCAATGCAGGAATACATTTTTTTATTTTAAGAAAGATACGTGTTGAAAATAGAGAAATATATAAAGAAAAAAGTAAAGCAAGTACAAGTTCCCCAGGGTGCCATCCACCCCACAGGAAGCCTCTGCTAGCACCCCTGTGTGTGTGTGTGTGTCTGTCTGTCTGTCTACCTGCCTGCCTGCCTGCAAACCTATGTCATGTTTGGGTTTTTGTTTTTCTTTTTACATAATTTGGATCCAACTGCATGGGACCTTTCCAGGGTTTCTTGTTTCTTCTGGTAATACCTTGGAGCTGTTCTCATATTACTCATATTATTAGTAAAATAATAACCACAGCTGCCATTTATTCGGCTCTTACTGTGGGCCAGGCCTTGTCCTGAATCCTTCGGCTGTATTACTGCATTAAGATGAGCAGTCTTCTAGAAGAGTGGCCAAAGGGTGTGGCCTCTGAATCGAGACTCTGTGGGTGCCAGTCCAAGTTCCATTGTTTCTTAGCTGTGAAATCTCACACAAGTTACTTAACCTCTCTGTGCCTCCGTGTCTCCCAATATGGGATGGGTCCAATGATATTATCTTCCCCACAGGGGTGTTCAGATGGTGCGTTCTTCCAAAAAAGGCACTTAGAAGAATGTCTAGCACATAGTAAGTGCTGTTTTAATTTTTTAAATCCTCACAAGCCCAGGACAGAGGAGGAAGCTGAGGCCCAGAAAGGTTAGGTAACTTGTTTGAGGTCCCACAGCTACTCAGGGGCGGAACGAGGAACTACACACAAGCCCATGCTGTTGGCCGCTGCCCTGCTCTGAGCTGCCTCTCCCCACATATGGATTTAGCATTCCAGAGAAGGCCGTTCCGTGTTCCATTGACCAGTCCCTGTTGAGAGGCACTCGGGTTGCTTCCAGCTGTCGCAATTTCAAATAAGGTTGCCCAGAGCAGCATTGTGCACATGTCCAGACATGTGCGTGTCTGGAAGATGGGCTCCCGGAGGTGGAACTGCTGAGTCAAACGGGGACCTGCTTGCGTTTCTTTTAAACTGAGCACTGCGGCATCAGCGTTCCTGCGGACTACGGAGCCGTGAGCGCCGTTTTCAACAGCTGCATCACGTTCCCTTCTGTGGATGGGCCCTCACTCACTTCCCCCTCCCACCAAGGAATACGGGGTTGCTTCCCTTTTCCTCTTTTAGGGTTGGCTCACTTAAAATTGCTTCCAGCCGCTCCTTCTGTGTTTGCACCTTCTTTTCTAGTGCCTCTCTGGGAAATTCCTGCATTTCCACAATCTATAGCCGCCCTCCCCCTTGCCGCTTGGAGCATCTCAAGGAATGCAGCTGGCGTGGGCCTGCCCATTTTGCAGATGGGGAAGCTGAGTCACAGTGAGGAGGTGGAGAGTCACATTGGAGTCAAGGGCCAGGACGCCAGGTCCCAGGTTCCCCATTTAGTGACCTCAGGAACCTAGAAAAGTGCCCAGGCTCAGGAACCCAGAAAAGAAAAGAGGGCAGGCCCTGAAGGAATAGGTGTTGGGTAAAGGAGGTCTGAACGAATGAGCGATGAATGAATGCCTGACGGCCTGAGCCTGTCCCCCTGGTGAACCCAAGGACTGAGGAGCGTAAGCGCTGATGTTTGTTAAGCACTCGTTGCTCACTGTGCATCAGAGCCTGTTCTGAGCATTTCTGCACTTGTTAACTGTTGATCCTCATAATTCTGCAAGGAAGGTGTAATTCTTATCAGCCCCGTTTTACAGAGAAAGCAACTGAGGCATCGAAAGGTTGAGTGCCTCAGCCAAGGTTGCCCAGCTAGTGAGAGGCGGGGCCAGGATTCAGCCTTCCTTTGGTTTTTTAATTGAGATCACATTGGTTTATAGCATTATCTAAATTTCAGGTGTACATCATCATATTTTTGACTTCCGTATAGATTACATTGTGTTCACCACCAAAAGTCTAGTTGCCATCTGTCACCGTGCAAATGTCCCCTTTACCCCTCATGCCCTCCCCGCACCCCCTTCCCCTCTGATAACCACCAGTCGATTCTCCTCATCTGTGTGTGTGTTTATCTTCCACATATGAGCAAAATCAGACGCCCTTTTGACCCTGACCCTCTGCTGCCTCCCTGCAGGCTCGTTCAGCGGTCATCACCCCTCTACCCCGCAGACCTCCGTCCCTGGCCCCGTTAGCTCTGCCTCTCCAGCTCTTTTCCTCTCTTCCTTTTGGGCCACAGGCTATGGCAGGGGACGGGGACGTTGTGGACCTGCTCCCTCTTAGTCCGGCCATCGCTTTGTCCTCCTGTGCTGGCTGACTTCCTTTCTGTGGCTCTGGGCCCCAGACGTGAGCTCCGTGGAGTGGATGAAGGAGGGCTCCTGAGAGGAGGGGGCTGGTCCCCATGCTCTCCCCATTTCTCTTCATGTCTGTGACCCTCTTCTCTGCTTGGCTCCTGCAGTGGTCGGGCTCGACATACAGGATGAGATGGGCAGGCACGAGGTGGGGCACATCGACAACTCGATGAAGGTCCCGCTGAACAACGGGGCTGGCTGCCGCTTCGAGGGGCAGTTCAGCATCAACAAGGTATGGAGATCCTGCATGGGCCCCTTTTCTCTGCTCCCAGCCCCTCGGTCCCCCTCCTCCCTGAAACTGGATGGCAGAGCCGTGTGCCCACTGGGCCTCCCCGCGGACAGAGGCCCTGCTGGTGGCTCAGGAGGGGGGCTGCTCTTCTCCCCAGCTGGGGAGGCAGTGGGTGGTGAGAGCCTTAGGGTTTGCTGCCCTGAGTTTGAGTGTCAGCTCTACCAGCTCTTGGCCAGGCAACGCCCCACAAGTCACTGGACCCTCTTGGCCTCAGTTTTTACATCTTTAGGTTGAGGCTGTGATGATGATAATAGTACAATGATGCCACCCAAGGTTTGTGTGAGGATTAGGTGAGCTATTACACATTCATTCATTCAGAAACCTTTCATCGAGCACCTTCTGTGAGTCAGGGTGGGTTGTCGGCCCGGGGGCCATGCACGGAGTAGGTGGGCAGAGTTCTGCTCTAGTGGAGGGAGAGGGACAGTATACAAACGGAAAAGCATCTACTGAAACGGTGGGCGCTAAGTGCGGTGATGAGGAATAAAGCAGGGGAGGGGCGAGGGGGCGGGGGTTTGAAAGTACTCGGTCAGCTCCAAAGGACCATGCAGGTGTCCCTGTTGTTCTGTCACTAGAACCAGGAGCTTCGGATCCTAAGTCAAGGATGTGAGGGCGGTGCATTTGGGAGTGCCAAGGAGCCCCGACAAGAGGCTCTTCTCAGCTCTTTTGTATTTTCACAGTAGAGACCTATGAGGTAGCACCATTTTCCAGATGAGGAAACTGAGACCTAAAGAGGTTAAGTATCTTGCCCAAGGTCACACAGCTATCCCCATGTGTCCCACACCTCCCCTTCCCAGTCCCAGCCAGACTGAGCCACTGGCCGCTCCTGGCTTCTGCTTGCCTCCTGTAGCCTCTGCTCAGAACTGCCTTCCTCTAATCCCTCACATCTGAATCAGAGGGTGCAAACTCACTGGCCACACCCAGCCCAGAGATAAGTTCCATGTGTCCTGTACAGCATTCAAACTTGTCAGAGCCAATAGCCAAAGATTCGGAGTCCAGACTTCTGGCTTTTCAAAGTCAGAGGCTCTGGCCACACTGGCCCCATGTTCCACTACGACAGTGATCTGAGCCAAGGAGCAGCCGCCCCTTTACACAGGGCGCTGCTCTCCCTTCCCGCAGGCCCCGCGGGGTGGCTGCAGACTCGGCCCAGGGGCTTGGTGTGACTGGGCCTGTCTCTCCCTCCACGTCTCAGGGCCGCTCCCTCTCCACGTGGTCCCTCCACGTGGACTGTCTAGCAGGGTGGACTACTTCCGCGACCGCTCAGGGCTCCCTGGAGTGCCAAAGCAGAGAATGTCACCTCTGCCACATTTCATGGCTGAGAGTGAGTCACGCGCCAGCTTGGGCTCAGGGTGGGAGGGGCCTGAAGGGTGGGGGGTTGGGAGGTGTGGTTCCTGGGGGCTCTGCATGTTAGCTGCCACACAGGGTCTTTCCTGTGCCCTGGATTTTGTGGCGGCCGTGACGGGAGCCATTTGAGGGTTTTACTCAGGGAGGCAGTGTAGTCGGATTTATGCTGTAAAACTGCACTTTCTAACACAGAGCCGCTAGCTACATTCACGTTAATGAAAATTAAATAAAATTCAGTCCGTCAGTCTCACCGGCCACATTTCAAGTGCTCAGTACCCACACATGGTTAGTGGCTACCTTATTAGCACAGATGTAGAACGTTTCCATCATCAGAGAACGTTCTACTGGACTGCAGACCCTTAGAGAGATCGCTGTGGCAGCCGTGTGGGGGCGCACTGGAGCGGCCAGGAGCAGAGGTCATGGGCAGTGGACGTGGCATGGAGTCGGAAGGGCAGCGGCCAGATGAGGGATGTGGAGGCAGCAGGACTCGGTGATCAGTTGGATGAGGGCAAGAGTGGAATCAGAGAAACCTTTTATGTTTCTGTCTTGACATTTTCTCGATATGGAAGCTTGGGGAAGCACGGATTCCATGGGCGGTGGGGCTGGGAATTGCTCGTTCTATCCTGGACACATTTCATTTGGGGTTCCCATGAGAGATGTTAAATTGGAAGCTGGACGTCTACTTCTGGAGAGAAGTTCTGGGCTGGAGATGTAAATGTGGGAGTCATCGGTGAATAGGTGACAAGTCTAGCTCAGTGCTGCTCAGAGTGGGGCCCCCAGACCAGCAGCACCAGCATCCCCTGGGAACTGGTTAGGAATGCGGATTCTCGGGCCCCGCCCAGAGCCGCTGACTCTTATAACAAGCCCTCCAGGGGGTTCAGATGCCACTAGAGCCCGAGGATCATTGATCTGAGCTGGATTACCTAAGGAGAGGGTTCAGATACCCCAAGGAGTGAGAACTGAATTCCACGGTCTGTGAACTTGGTGGGGGAAAAAGGACATGTTTATTTTTACTAAACTCAAACTCAAATTTAGCATTTTCTTCAAGGATGAATGTAGGCAACAAACCAGAGTAGCATTAGCAGCACCTGTGACTTTGTCACCAGTAGAAATTGCCGATATTTATATCCCTTTAAAACTGTCACAGGTAATTCAAGGTACTGTTTATATTCGCCACCACTTGGAAATTACAGTAACGAGTTGACCTGTGGCCAGATCTTGTTGTTTATTGCATTAATAAGGAAGCATATTCAAATATTTTTTAAAATATTTTAATTCTGTTTAAATATCATTTCTTTCCTTTGTGATCCTATGTATTTTATGCATTCAGAACATTCTAAGCATTTAAAATATAGGCGTCACCAGACTGGCAAAGGGTCGATGGCACCAGAAATGGAAGAAGGTCAGGACGCTGTAGGAATGCGGTGTGAGCGCTGAGTTTTGGTGCGCTCCAGGGTTTAGAAGTAGGGAGATGGGGAGCAGAGTGACAGAAGGTAGGACAAGGAGCAGATGACAGGCAGGAGGAAACCAGGCGCGGTGGGCCCTGGAACAGGAGAGAACATACATTAAAGAGGAGGGCCAGTGCTCTAAGGTCAGGGTGTCCCGCTGACCTATGTGCTGCAGGCACAGCAAGTCCTTGGGAAGCAGAGGGCCTGGGACCCAGGTGGCGTGGAGGGTGCCCTGGAGAGGAGTGGGGAAAGGGGGCGGGTGAAGTGGTGGTGGGCTCTTGCTCTGCCTCCGGTACCTTCTCTCTGTCCCCACCAAGCTCCCGGAGAGCTGCTGCTCATCCGCAGGTCTGGTTCACGTGCGCGCCTCGGGGCAGCCGGCCCTCCCATTCCCCTGACCAGCCCCTCTGTCATGACCCTTACGTTGCTATTGTCTGTTTCACTTCTTGACTTCTTTTGACCATTGCCCCTGCCTCTTACTAGTTCACTCATACATCGTGCTGTTTATTGAGTGTCTGCTGTATGTCTGGGGTGCAGTGCTGATAGAAACAGCCGTGTTCCCTGCCCTTGGTGGCACTTGTGGTCTATTACAGGGTGACAGCCAACCCACAGATGAACACCTGAACAAGCCAATGTGCAGTTCTGATGAGGCGGCCACAAGGAGAATGAGGGGGGTGCTATGGTGGAGAATAGGAGGAGACCCCCTGAGACGGGGTCTGAGGGGTGATGGGTGAACATGAACACACACACACCTCCCAACTGTGGGGGCCCCCCCAGGGGGGTACGATCACCTGGGTTAGAAAAACGCATCTGCCCAACCAGTGAACCAGGAGCACCCAGGTTTATTCAGCACCCAGTATGGGGTGGGTGCAAGAGACAGCCAGCCCCACACCCTCCTCCCTTGGCAAACATGCCCAAAGCTGCAGTCGGCGCCCTTCAGACAGGCTACGGGTGAGCCAGAAATTGCTCTTTGGGGTCAGACAGACCTGTGGTCGAGAATCCTGGCTACGACGCTCGCTGGTTAGATGACTCTGGGCAATTTAGCCTTTCTGAGCCGTGGTTTGCTCACCTGTAAGATGGGGATAATAATACTGACCTCACAAGCGTGAGACATGAACAAATTAGAATACAGAAAGCACGTACTACGGCGGGGACTGGACAAGCCCTGGCCCTCCCCACCCTGCCTCCTCTCCCATCCCTGGGAGCCTCTGTAACCTCATCAGCTGGCTTCCATCCTCACATGGGGACAAGTGTGCTCATAAAATGTGCATGGTGACATCCAAGAAACAGGTCTTCTCTGGTCGGGGTGGGCGGGGAGTCTAGGAAATGGTCACACCAGCCCGCGCCCTATGGCTGCCACCTATTAGGTTCTTCCCAAGCCCTTTACCGCTATTAACTCATTTAGTCCTCACAACAACCTTGAGGGTACAAGGCACCGGAGATTAAGTGACCTGCTCAAGGGCCCACAGCCAGCACTTGAACCCAGGCAGCCTGGCCCCAGGCCTCCCTCTTTCCCTCTGCACCCCCCACCCGTTGCTGCTGCTGTGACCAGCTGTGTCCATTCCCTCCAGGTCACAGCTCAGGCCAACCTCTGCCCCCTACCCTTGGAGACCCCCACTCTCCCTTGTTAAAGGTTCATACCTTCGAGAAGCTCTCAGTCCAGGGTGCTCAGATGAGAAAGCCAGCTGCACTGAAGGGCAGGCGAGGTTGGTGGCTGGCCCCCAGCCCTTTATCTCCCAGTGTCAGGCTCACCCTTGCCCTGTGGCCTCCTTATCCATCCATCAGGAAGTTGGCCAGCAGCCAGATGTCAGAGTTCACATGTTCCGAGCTGCACCAGCAGCCCCCGGCAGCCCTGACCCCTCGCTTAATCACCCAGCCCCGCAGGAGGAGGGCAGAATGGGCTGGGGTTTGGCGCCTGGCTCCATCTGTGTGTTTTTAAAATCCATCAGAGACACTGACGTCGGTTCCTCAGTCACAGGCTCTAAAAGCATCGTCTTTGCTTTCTTCAGCGCAGCGTGTGCTGGCATGAGTCAGCCACCTGTGATGGATTCCTGGTGCAGGGGAGTGAGTCACTGAGTCACAGCCTCGTGGGGCGCCCGCGGGTGGCAGATGCGCAGGAGCCAGCCTCCTTGACTCACTTACCTCTGGGAGCGTGAGGCCCAGGCCCCAAACCTGATTGTGAACTCTGCGCATAGCCTGGTCCACAGGAGGCCCCGTGTCACTGCATAGGAGGCCTCTAAAGAACGCATGCCTGATGCGATCAGTCTCTTACGTCCGGGGGTGGCGGGCAACGGGGACTTTAGCCCCAACTTTATCACGCGAATTTTTTATAATACGACCGTATCCAGGTATTATTTATATAGGTAAAAATGAAGCTAAGCAATGTTACTAAAATACAACGGGCTTTCCCCTGGGCCCTGCCTGTTTACTTGCTCTTCCCTCTTCTGGAGGGCCCTTCCCTCCCGGCTCTGACGACAAGCGTGTTCGTCCTGTGAACCCAGCCTGCTAACAACTGCCATTGGCTCTGCACTTGTTCCTTCATTTAATCCTCCCAGTACCCTTTGTGGTTATTATCCCCATTTTGCCAGTGGGGAAACGGAGGTACGGGGGTTACTGACCTTGCCCAAGGTCCCCCTGGCTGGGGAGAGGGGCCGGACTGAGGCCCGTATGTGGAGCTCAGCTGCTCCGCTCCCGCAGGTAGTTGGGCTCCTGCAGCAGGCGATGCTGTTGTCTCTGCTTACTCCGACCCAGTGGGTCGCCCCCTCCCCTAGCATCCTGGGCCCAGATCCCAGGCACCACTCCAGCCCACACCACACTCGCTGAGCTCACAGAGGCTGGGCCGTGCCCTGTCAGCCTGGTGCCTCCCACGTCCTTCCAAAGCTCAGGTCCCAGTGAAGACAGGAATATTCCCGTGGGAAGCACACAGCTTTGTGTCTGAGACAGGCGTGCTTAGCAAAGCAGCGGACTCACGTAGGCTGCTGTGTGCCGAGCCGTAGGCCGTATTCTACCTTCCTTCCTCCAAGGCGGCTCACGAAACCTGCACTGAGCTGGAATAAAATAAACCCTGAGTTTTCCAGTAGCATTTGGGGCCTTTGCTAAACAACCTATATCCCTCTTATGCCTCTGTTTCCCGCTACTACCACCCCTCTTTTATTTAGGGTTCAGTAATACCAACCTCTTTTAGTTCCTTACACATGCGCACAAACTGGGCAGTTTCTGACCTCCACACGTTTAGGCTGTTCCCTGTGCCCAGATGCCTTTCCCCCTATTCCTGAGCAATGCAGACTCAGCCTCAGAGCCTTAGCACAAGGCAGTCCTTTCTGCTGACAAGTCCCCAGCCGAGGCAGGGGCCCTCCCCGTGGTCCCCACAGTCTGGGCATCACTCTGGTCCAATGTGGGTCACACAGAGTCTCATTTTCTGTTCCAAGCCTGTGTCACAGCAGACCAGCAGCTCATCCAGGGCCAGGCTCTTCTCTCTCTCAAAACCTGGCACCTCCAGAAGGACTGGCTCCGCGTGGCCGTCCTCCCAGGGCTGCTGAGGAGAATGGCGTCCTGGCCTCCGTGGCAGAGAGAATCACGTCCCGCTTCAGCGTGCAAAGTCTGGAGTCCAACAGACGTGACACCTGACCTTAGCAGCTTCTTCACTGCTCTGAGGCTCAGTTTCCTTTTCTGTAAAATGGGAATTACCAGGTGCCAAAGTCAAAAATGCTGTTTTAAGGATTAGTGTGATTCATTCATTTGTTCATCCATTCAATAAACATTTATTGAGCGCCTGCTCGGCCCCGGGGTCTGGGGAATCCAGCAACAAATCAGACAGCTCTGCTAGCATGGAGGGCGGACGAGGGCGGGAGAGGAGAAGGTGGCCGGTGACCCTGAGGGCCTTGGCAGGGCAAGGGGCTTGGGGAATGGGGGCCGGGGGCCCTGAGCAGGGGCCTGAGGGAGGTGAGGGAGAGCCGTTCGGAAGAGGGTTCCAGGGAGGGGCACAGGCCCCAAGGTGGCACCATGCTGGCAACATTCTGGGTACCACAGGGAGGCCAGTGAGCAGAGGAGAAGCTGGTGGGAGAGGAAGCAGAGAGGTTGGACAGAGTGAGTGGCCATTGGCCAGAGCACATGCAGCCTGTGGACCCATGAGGACGAGGCTTCGCCTGGAGAGAGCGGCAGCCTTGGAGGCTTCTGAGCAGAGGAGTGATGGGGTCAACTGGAGGGTTCAGAGGGACCCCTCTGGCCGCTGTTGGGAAGGCTGCAGCCGCCACCCAGTCCAGGGTGGCATTAGGGGTTTGAGAAGGTCAGGTGCTGGGTGTCTTGAAGGTGGAGCTGACAGCGTTCCTGAGGGCGGAAGGTCGGTGTGAGAGGGACGGGGTCAGGATGACCCCAAGTGTTTCGGTCCGAGCGGCTAGGAGGAGGAGGGGCCTTTGGGTGAAACAGGGAGGCCCTAGAGAGTCGTGAGGCCCTTGCCGCAGGCTTATCATCAGCATCATTCATTCCCTAGACATTCATTCAGGACCTCTCATGACTGCGCTCTGCAAGGCCTCGAGACCCAGGGAGGAAAGGAGGCCACCACAGCCCCGCCTTCTAGGATCCCCCAGTGCAGGGTGTTGGAGCAAGTTTGGGTGGACGATGGTCTTGATTTGGGGTTCGAGGAGGCCCTGACCTGTGCTATTCGCCCAGCTTGGCACTTACCATGCATTCACTCACCCCATAACCCCAGCAGCCTCTTCCAATAGCTACTATTATTGCCCCCATTCTAAGAATGAGGACCCTGAGGCTCAGAGAGGGGTGGTGGCCATAGGTCCAAGTCCTATGGCTTGGAGCAAGCTGGGATCCAAATCCAGACCTGTCTGACTCCAGGATGAAACCCTGCACCCCACCCTCTGGGGCAGCCAACCAAATTCCTGAACCTTGCATCTCCCCCAGGTCCCTGGCAACTTCCATGTGTCCACACACAGCGCCACAGCCCAGCCACAGAACCCAGACATGACCCATGTCATCCACAAGCTCTCCTTTGGGGACACGCTGCAGGTAAGTGGGGCACACTGAAGGTGGCATGGTCGGGGTGGGCGTACAGGGGCCGCCTCTGTCCTCCCTGGTCACAGAGGGATGCCTTCCAGGGGGGTCGCCTCCTTTGAGTCTCTGCTCCATACAATAGCTCCTGGGTTCCTTCTGAGCGCGGCTACAGTATCCTCCACAGTGCGCTGGACTTGGAACCTCAGGTAGAGACCAGGTCCTGGCAAGGGACTCACTTCCAGGAGCAAGTCCTGAGTGTGTGTGCTTTCTCTGTGCCAGTGCAGCCTCTGAGGGAGGAGAGGGCCCTTTTGCAGACTGGAGCTGGGCCCAGAGAAGCCATCGTCCAAGGTCCCCCAGCACATCTGTCTGACTCCCCTTCACAGCCCTGTCTGCTCTGCTGCCCAGTGCCCACGTCCATTAAATGGGGGTGGCGCAGTGAATGAGGGATGCTGAGAGCCCCTGTTGCTTTCAACGAAAGGGCCACCTCTGGCAGCCCAGCCGGGCAGTTTCCTACCCATGGCAGCAAGTGCTGACCAGCTCTCTGCCGGCTGTAGGCCTCTCTCTTCTCCACCCCAACCCCGTGGTGCTCCGGGGAAAGTCTCTTACCCCAGTCTGACATAGCGGGACTCGGGACTCAGAAGGGGGAAGTACCTGCCCCAGCCTTCATGCTGGAATTGGGCCCTGGTCCTGAGCCTGGCTTGATGAGAACGTTTCCTGGGTGGGGTTGCTTTCCGGGTGCCCCCAGGCGCAATGATGTGCACACAGCACCCACACAGGCCCGCCAGCACACATGCGCACACTATTACAACACCTATATGCACACCCATCTGCTCAGACTCCTACACACACTCATCAGATACACACTCGGAGGTGTGCCCTGACATACGTGTACTTATCCATACGCCCTAAGACCCATCCCTGAACACACACCACACATACACACTCAGATCCTTGCACAGACACAGCACACACACCTGGGTGTACAGCATTCTCACAAGCATTCCCCACACCAGTGCAGTCATCCTTTCACACACACTCACCACCCAGGGGCATGCTCACCAGGCTGTTACGTCTCACACACGGACGTGCATACGCTCCTGCACGCCGCCCCCTCACGGACAGGCCACAGACGTCTGCTTGCCATGGGAGCGCCTAGCAGAGCACCCCTGCGCCAGCCCCGCACTTCACAGGCACCGTCCCCTTCTGCACTCTCGGCAGCCCCAGAGGTAGGTGCTTTATGGTCCCCGTTTTACAGATGAGGGAACTGGGGCACAGAGAGGGTGCACTGTGCTGCAGAGCTGGGGTTTGCATTGGTCTGGCTTCGGGCGGCACTGCCGCTCCTGCCTCCCCCTCAGTCCTGAGCCTGCACTGCCCCTCACACGCACATCCGCTCTCACACTGCCTCCTTCCGCCCCACGCTCCCCGTGGGCACCTGGTGCTCAGCCCGAGTGGCTCGTCGTCACCTTTCCAGTCCCTCCAGAGACCCCAGAGCTCTTCCTCTTGGAGACAGGGCTCAGGGACAGAGACAGCCCGGCCTCCCCGGGAGCCGTGGGCCAGACTCCCTGTCCACACACTCGGTGAAGCACGGCCTCCTGGGACTGTGGACTCGCCTCCTGCAGGCGAATTTGCACGGGGTTTGCCACCCACACCCTCCGTCTCTCCATCTGCGGGACTGCTGGGCGGAGGGCCCCGCCTGCCTTTCTGTGTTCAAGTCCTGGCTCCACCACTTAGTGGTTGTGTGGCCTCAGACAAATTCTTTCTTCTTGCTGAGCCTCAGCTATCTCGTCTGTAAAGTGGGGACAGTGATAGTGCCTGCCTCATAGGATCGTAGTGAAGATAATTTGAGCTGATGCACATACAGCTCTGAGAACAGTGCCCAGCGCAGTCGGTGGTCAGCAAGAGGAGCCATTACCACTGTGGTTGTTAGCTGTGCCCTCCTCTGCGCCAGACCTGCTGGGCTCACAGCTGCGGAGGATGGTCACCGCCCCCAATGGACCAGAGCTGACCAAACACAGGCAGGTGGTGGGCTGAGCACTCTCCATGCACTGAGCCGTGGGCAGCGCCCCAACTGCCCGTGTACCCGCCAGCCCACCCAATCCTCACAACAGCCCTGGAAGGCACTATGAACTCAGTGTGCACATGAGGAGACTGAGGCACGGGGCCATGAGTCCAGGGTCATGCAGCTCGTTAGTGGCACAGCCACTAACCCAGTCTTTGCACCACAGCACCTTCCGTCCTCCTGGGACTTTGACACTTTCAGCCTGCAGCGAGCGTTACCCGCACTTCATTACCTAGAGAACGCCGCTATGGATGACCCCTTGTTTAATCCCCGCAAAAACCCCCTCAGGGATGCTGGATGGCATTTCTTTTTCCTGATAGGAAACTGGGTCAGAGAGGTTCAGTAACTTGTCCAAAGTCCCACAGCTTGTACGAAACCAGGTGTGTCTGGCCCCAGGTCTACCTTTACTGTGCCTCATCCAGTCCTGGATTCATCAGACCTTCTAGAAATTTCTGCTCTGCACCAGGCTCTGTGCCAGGCCATGGGGCTGCATGATGAATAAACAATACCCTTACTCAAGCAAAGAAGCAATCAAACGTAAATGAACACGATACTATAGGACAGGAGGGCTGAGGACAAGAGAGGCCTCGGATTCTGGGCAGTGATCTGAGGGCTGGGGCAGGGTACTCCCCAGCCTGGGAGGTCAGGGAGGGCTTCCCAGAGGAGGTGACCCCTAAGGTGACATCTAAGTCAGCCCTGAAATATGAGAAGGATTTGGCCAAGCACAGGACAGAGAAGTTCATGGCCAGCCATCTTACACATCACTCTTCTCCTACAGCGCCCACTCTGAGACACACCCAACTGGCCATTTTCATATAAAAGACCCTCCAGGTTACCCTTAGAAAAAGTGGAGCGGCAGGTGTCCACGACATCAGAATGGTGTCCCACCCGTGAGATGCCAAAGCCCTGGGAATAAGGGCTCCTTAGGGTCGGCTGAGAGGGCTCAGAAGCGTCCACCTGGAGGGGAAGTGGGGAGCTGGGTTTTATGTGGGGCGAGAGACCTGCGTTAGATTTGGGAAGGTGGGGTCCGACGAGGCAGGTTGGTGTCTTAGAAAGAGCGCCCACCTGCTGTGTGGACAATGGGCCATGAGGCAAGGCTGGAGACGAGGAGGGTGGGGCAGCTGCAGCCAAAGCCAGGGGGACAGGCCAGGGCTGGGGCAGGGTGGGGCAGAGGAGCGGGGAGGGACTGGGGAGGCAGGGGCCGCAGTCGGTCATGTGTTGCTGTGTGCCACTGGCAGACCAGAAGGACAGTGACAGCCTTTGGCTTAGGCATTGTTATGGTGGAAAGAGGATTTTCTTCAAATGTAAAACACTTAGGTGAGGGTCCTTCGGCCCATCTGTTGTCCATCCATCTATGCAACAGATCTTCACTGAGCACCTGCTGTTTGCCAGGCCTTGCACGCACTGGTGAGGACGAGCGTGGTCCCTGCCATGTGGAGCTTCCAGTCTAGCGGGGAAGACAGAAGTTAATCGATAATCATACAAATGAATGTAAGATAAAACTGTGGCACGTGACGATGGGAGGCAGCCTTCTAGCACCCGTGTCTCCAAAACCACTGTCCTCTTGGGTCAGAAACCAAGTCTTCAGATGGTCAATCCCAAGGCAGCATGTGGACACACTTCCTTTGGGTTTGTTGAGAGTGTGCAGTTCTGTTAAGAGCTCAGTAAACAGGAGCTGAGACCAGGATCGGGAATCATTCAGGCCACCCAGCTACTGCCCATTGTTCCTGAATGGCCCTCTCTGCAGGAGCCTGTCCCCACCCACCTCTCTGACCTCCCTCCTTCCCACTTCTCGCCCCCTTGGCATCCAGGCTCATGCCTGTGCATGTACTGCATGCCTGATTAACTTCCCACTTTCCTGCAAGTCTTGGTGTCAGTGTCACTTCCTCCAGGAAGCCTTCCAGGGTATCTGGCTCAGCAGCTCCTGTTAACTGTGCCCATGGTGACATGCCCCAGGTACCAGGTGTGCCTTGTTCTGCTTTGGATTCTCCTTGAGGCTGACCTGGTTTCCCCTCATCCTCAGAGAAGAGGCAGGATGTGGCCTTCAGCCCCACCCTACAGTAGCCCTTGCCAGGGGGACACAGCTGGGCCAGCTGCCATGAGAAGAGGTCTCTTCACAACTGCTGTGTGTTCCCTGCAGCAGACAGGGTGGGAGGCCAGCAGCCCTGGGTCCTCTTTCAGTGGGCTGTGAGGTCTCAGGAGGAGCACGCTGGGAGCCGGATCCACCTTTGCTTGAGTTTTCTGTGTTGCTTAATGGAAAGAGCTCAGGCTTGAGGTCAGACAGACGTGGATTTGGAGCTGGGCTCAGCTAGTTATCAGCTATGAGACGCTGGACACGTTTTGGTTCTTCTCCAAGCCTTGGTTTGCTTGTCTGTAAAATGGGCCCGTGGAATATCATTGGGGCATTAAATGAGATGATGCAAAGTTCCCAGGACAGAGTGGCACGTTGTGGGTGCTCAGGATAGGAAGCAAGCTAGTGCCTCCCACATGGCAGGCCTGTGCTGTGTCTGTGCCCTGTTTCCCACAACTTCTCTACGAGACAGACCCCGCTGGCTCCCCATTTTACACACAGGTAAGGTCCTAAACAGGCTGCAGCTGGCCGTCCCCCCGTAGCCAGGGCCGGGCTGGAGGTGGCGGCACCCTGGAGTCAGTCCCCTTGCTGTGTTTCTCCACAGGTCCAGAATGTCCACGGAGCTTTCAATGCTCTCGGGGGAGCCGACAGACTCACCTCCAACCGTACGTACCCCATGTCCTTGGGAACGGCCTTCTGCTCCAGGATTCCCAGCACAGCAGAGAGGAACGGGGGCGCGTGGGGGGACGTTCCTCAGGCGCTCACTGTCAGCCACGCAGTTAGTGCTCCGTTCCCACGGGTAGCCTTGTGAGCAAGGAGGACTTGTCCCTGCCTTACTGAGAAGGGAAGAAAAGCGACTTGTCCTGGGGAAAGCAGGTGGCAGCCCTGGGCACCTCCTAAGTCCTCAGTGAATACCAGCTGTTATCATCATTATTGTTAGCATTAGTGCCACTCAATCGTTCTTAGTTGAGATAATCACCTTAGATCCCACAGGGATGGTGGCGGAGCCAGGATTCATCCTGGCTCCACTGGCACCGTGAGAACAGGGCTGAGGGTGGCTCAGTCAGGTCCGGCTGCCTGGGCTGCCTCCCCCATCTCTCCCTCCCCCTGCCTGAACCCCTCCCACCCACACAGGCCCCATCCTGCCTGCTCCCTCCTCGCTCCCAGCACCTTGGCCCATCTTTACATCCCAGCGGAAGAACGTGCACACCTACACAGGTGCACTCGCACGTGGGGCCTTGGACGTGTACACAGAACGGGTCCAGGAGGCCTGTCTGCAGGTGGAGCCTGCGGGATAGGTTATCTTGACTTTTCTTATTTTCTCACCTGAGCTCACTTTTTTCACCCATATGTCATTTATCATTTCTTAAGAGACATTTACTCTCCAGCAGTCAGAAATCTAAGCAAAATGAACATCCCTCCACAACCTGCCCCCCCTGGCACTTTAAGCTTTTCGTTTATCTGGGTCCCTGGACGCCTTGTCCGTGAGCAGGGGTCCCTTTTCCCAAGTGTGGATAGCACCTTGCCCTCTGACCTCTGTCCTTGGTGGTATTACATCACCACAGTTGCCGTAGTGCTTTTCCCGTGGTGACCGAGGCGTGAGTGGCTGGTGGCGGCTCCGCTGTGCTGCTGCGGACAGTGTCTTTTCATGGAGAACATCCGTGGTTTCTGGGTTTCACCGTCACGGTGATGCCTTCGATGTTTATGGTGTTGGTTTTCCGTTACCCCATTGCTTCCAAGCGGGGTGCATGCCCATGCGTGCTGCTTCCAGCGCAGCAGGGGAGACGACTCTCCGTGTAAGGGCCGCGTGTCGTCCCAGGGTGGCCATCCACATGCTCTCGCAGTTAGCATGGGCTCCTCCCCCTCCCAGTGCTGGAATAGGGTCAAGCTAGGAAGGCCCAAGTGTGCAAGCTCACAGAGGGGGTGGACAGAAAACCTTTCCCTCTCTGGGGCTGGTGACACAAGCCATCTCAGGTGGCTCGCCTGGAAAGGGAAGTGCATTAGCTCAGGCAGCAGACGGACAGAGGCCTGGCTGGCTGTCATTTCCTCAGCTCCCAAGCCTGGTGCCCTGGGCCTTTGCCTTTGAGGGTCCCTCTGCTCCCAGGTCTTCCCACGGGGGCTGCTGCTTGTCATTCAGGTCTCAGCTCAAACGCCACCACCTCAGAGAGGCCCTCCTTGACCACCTGATCTAGCTTAACCTGCACTCCTGGTAACAAACCTGTCTTTCTTCCCAGCAGAGACCCCTATCTTTGAAGATACTGAGGAGTGATCGTTGATATTTTAGCTATGACAATGGCATTGTAGTGGTGATTTTTTTTTTTTTTAAGAGTCTTTATCTTTTAGGAAAACAACTAAAATATTAGTGGATGAATTGATGTGATGTCTGGGATTCACTTCAAAATAAAACGGGGGAGGAGGCGTGGTGGGGTAGAGAGGAAGCAGAATTGGCCATGTGTAATTAATTGCCGAAGCTGGGGAATGGGTACCTGGGAGTTCGTCATACGATTCCCTGTTTTTTGTATGTTTGAATTTTTCCATAATAAGGTATCAAGAGGGAGGGAGGGAGTGGGAAGATTACGTGGGCCTGCCTGGGTCGGGTTGGAGCCAGCAGCCCCTAGGAGGAGCGGGCTGACAGAGAATCCACGTGGATGTCATTAGGTGCAGGGTCTAGTGGGCATTTGGCAAATTGTATCAAAGGCCTTAATCATGGGCATTGCCTTTGAGTCATCAATTCTACTCACAGAGGAGCAAGCTAAGGAAATAATTAAGAGAATGTGCAAAGATTTAGGAAAATAATGTTCATTAGTTCTTTGTTTATGAGAGTGAAAATGAGGAAGAGCATCAGTGTCTGGCCACGGGGCTTGGTTGAGGACATTGAACGAGGCCACACCGTGGGGTGCATGCGGCCGCGGACCGTGATGTGTGAGAACCTCGCTGGCATTCCGGCAGCAAATGTTTGTTGAGCACCTCCTGAGTGCCAGGCGCTGCGCCGGGTTACGGAGGCAGATGAAACCAGTGTGTGGAGCTTGCAGTCTGTGTCTTAGGGCTGGAAAGGTGTCTGTGAGGTTCAGTTCTTAGAAAAAGGTACAGTATGATCCAATTTTAGGAAAACGTAAATATATGTATAAATATAATTCTGGCAGCTTGTGCACGACAATATGAATCCACGGTTTTCTGTGGATGGTGGATTCGTGGGTGGTTTTTATTTTTTTCGTATGATCATCTGTGTTTTATACATATTTTAACAGGACTGTAGGGTGTGGTCTTCGTGAGGCATTCACCCTTTCATTCCTTCGAGTTTTTAGCCCGGGGCAATGGGCATTTGGAACACGATGTTCATTGGTGGTCTTTGGGCTCCTGGTTTTCTGAGCGCCACCCCAGACCTGAGTGGGGATCTCCAGGGTGAGGCCCGAGCGTGTGCCTTTTAAATCCTGGGTGACTGAAGAGCTCTGTGGGGCTGAGCAGAGGGGTGCTGGGGTCTCATGGGCTTAGGCTGAGGCTGCAGGGCTTGTCCCAGGTTTTCAGAGGAGTCAGGTCTCGAGGCAGTTCAGGCAGCACTGTCCTTTCCTTACCGGGATGTGGTATTGGCAGGCAGAGGCCATGAACGCCATCCACATCGCCTACCCTCTTACCGGAAGATGAGTCCAAGGACTCAGGAGTGACTCGGCCCTGAGACCAGGTTTAGAACCCACAGGCCTCAGTTTCTGTGTTGTTGTAGCTCTGTGGTCCCTGGCCTGGGATTCTAGAAGGCAATAATAGAGGGGTCCTGTGTGCCTCTTAGCATCCCAGAAGGCCCAAGGGAATCCATCCTTCCCCGGGTGACATTAGGCAGCTTTGGGCCAGCATTCTGTCAGCCTAGAGCTTGATTCTGGTTACCTCATGCTTATCAGAAGCTGATTCATCTGCTCTTCCATTCATGCCTCTGACCAGTCACCCCTCCATCCATCCATTCATTCAATAAGCATTTGTCACTGTCCACTCCGTACCAGGCCCTGCATGGGGTTCTGGGGACACGGGATGAGTAAGGCTCGATCCCTGCGCCCTGCAGCCTCCCCCATCCAGCGGGGTAGGGTAAGGGTTACAGTGGAGTGTGGGAGGGCCCGGTGGAGGGGGAACTGATCTCCCATTAATTGAAAATGGGGGAAGAAATTAATCAATGCTTCATAGATGGAGTTTTTCTGGTTGGTGGGTCTTTCTTTTAAAAACTGAAACCCAGTTTGTTTCAAAAGTAACAATATTCAAACAGGACGAGAGGGTGTACAATGAAATGTCGTCTTTATCAAATCCTGCCATCCTCCCCAGAGGCTAAAACTGCTAATAGTGTCTTGGGGATCTTTCCAGAAAATTCTTCTGTACAGTCACACATCTAGAGAGAGTGAGTCTTCCCTGCCCCCAGTACGTGGAAACATGTTCTTCGCCCTGTTCTGTAGCTCGGTCCTTTCCACTTAACAATACCTCTTGGAGAGTGGCCTCTCAAGGCACCCGCTCTTCAATGGTTGCCCTATTGATGGACATCTGGGTCGTTTCCAGAGCTTTAATATTATATGCAGTGCAAGAGTCACAATGCTGCAGGCAGAGTCTCTCAATTCCTGGGGTCCAAGGGGAGAAGATGTAGGGGCAGTCATTGGTGGTGATAATGTGGAGATGAGCCCACCGCCAGCCCTGGCAAGGCCAAGCAGGTTTAGGGTTGAAATGATGTGGAAGGAGCTGCCAGCCATCCCTGCTTCATCCCACTGTGTTCTTCCTGCAGCCCTCGCCTCCCACGACTACATCCTGAAGATCGTGCCCACGGTGTACGAGGACAAGAGTGGCAAGCAGCGGTACTCTTACCAGTACACGGTGGCCAACAAGGTGCGGGCGCCGCGGGGCCCAGCTGCGTGCAGTCGCGCCCTCTGCTGGCCGAGAGCGGAGGCAGCTAGTGTCTGGGCATGATGTCCGCAGGTCCCCCTCAGGAGCCTTTTTCCAGGGAGGCTGCTGTGGCCAGGCTCTGTCCCTGGGTAAAGGTGGGAGGCCAGTCTCAGAGTCGAGGGGAGGAAGTCTAACCAGGAGATAGGGGGCGATTTGTTGAAGAAAGAGCAGGCAGGAGGCCTCCCCACAAGGTCCCAGGGGTTGCAGACGTCTCCACAGTCCTGCATCTGGCCACCGGTCGTCAGGCTCAGGATCCCGATTGGTCAGCACACAACAGGCACTCTGGCTCTCGGGGCACAAGCTCTTTATCCAAAATTGTGAATCCTTCTGGGCTGGCCCAGGAGCCTGATACTCAGCGATGGGGAAGCAGGCAGCCCTCGGTGGGAAGAAGAGCCTGGTCAGAGCCAGCAGGATGGAATGGCCAACGATTAGTGATTTCAAGCTAAGACAGCCTTGGCTTCCCCGGAGAAGACCCTGCCAGGGGGCCGTGAACGCTTGAAGCCTGTCAGCTGAGGCCCCCCCACTAGAGCCTGATGGATGGGTCTTTCCCTTTACCACCAAGATGCTCCTTCTTCTGTTCCAGGGCAGCCCAAACCCCTTAGAAGTGATAGACTGTTTAGTTCAAGTAATTATAATAATAATAAGAGTAGCAGCCATCATTTATTGAGTACTTACTCTGGGCTGGATATTATGCTAAGCTGTCCACCTCCACATCTTCTTCAGTCTTTGTGACGGCTCTGCCATTGGGACTATTGTCCTCATTTTACAGATTTGGCCGCTGAGGCACTGAGAGTTGGTCATAGAGTTACAAAGTGGCCAAGAGGGGATTAGAACCAGGGTCTCCTCAGGCTCTGGAGCCTGGCCTCTTGATCACGTCACCCACCCAGTCTGAACAAGGGCCGTTGAGTCGGCCGGGCTGGGCTCTCTCTCTCGGGTGACTTGAGGTCCCTCTGCTCTGATCCACCTGTGCTGCTGTGGTGTAACTCTCCAGAAGGGATCCTGTTTCTTTTATTCACTGTCTGTTGGAGGGCATCTCGCTGTAACCCTCAAGTACTGACAGCATCTAACAGATGGGGGAACACGGATGCAGTCTGAGCGCAAAGAGCGTGGGCTGTGGAGCAGACTGCTGGGTCAATCCCACTCTGTCACTCGCTAGCTATGTGACCTGGGACGAATCACATAAGTGCTCCATGCTTCAGTTTACTCATTTGTAAAATGGGGATGATGCCCACCTCATGAGATTGCCATCAAATGAGGCGATGTTTTTGAAACTGCTCAGCCCACAAAGAAGGCTTTGGGTGAATGATGCCTGCTGCTGCTATTTCTTATTATGCTCCTCTGTCCCTCAGCTCTGGGCTGTGACCCCGACAGTCACCCTGCCCCATCCGCTCTCCCTGGAGAAAGCTGATCTTATTTTGCCCAAGGCTCTTTCCCCCGAGGCCTTGGCAAGGGCCCAGCGACTGGAACGGCTTGCTCAGCTCTCCGTGGCCTTGGCCCCAGCCTGCCCTATGAGCAAGCGGGACTGTGCCCGTCAGGGCCGGTGGCAACCACAGAGACGGCAGGTGTCAGTGATCCCTGGGGGGAGCCTCAGAGCTCGGGCCCTACCACTTGGGGTTGGGCGTGCCCCTTTGGTTTAGTTAGGTTTCTAGTTGTAGATGAATGAGAGTAGCCCAGAGGTTTTCAGCATCCCAAAGTGCCCAGACCAGGGAGGACATGTTGTTAATTCAGCCCCTTAGCATCCTTTAAGTCCCGCTGGTGCCTCCTCAGGAAGGCTTGTGGCAGGGCTGAGCCCTCTGGCTTTCCAGTTCTGTGCGTTCCTTCTTCGAAGAACCTCACTCCCTGCATGGCCTGTAAACTCCTGTCTCTCTCTCCCTTTCTCTCTCTCTCTATCTCTCTCTCTCTCCCTCTCTGTCTCACTCTCACACACACACACGCACCCCCCTCAGGACGTCATGTGTGGCTTAGAGTGTCCCCTCCTCGCTAAGCCTTCCAGAGGCCCCCGGGGAGAGCTGGCCATTCGTTCTGGCCCCGCAGCACTCCGTGTCCCTCCCTCACAGCACACAGCGCTGTGGTATTGCAGGTGTTTTTACATCTGCCTCCTTCCCTGTGACCCTCTCTGGGGGTGGGGTGGGACTTACTCCCTCAGGGTCCCCAGCAGCCAGCTCAGGTAGAGCACACGGGAAAGGGGCTCAGTACACTATTGATGAATAAATGAATGGCTTTTGCGTGGCCCCAGCGTTGAAGGGGGAAATAGGCCTTTACTCAGACTGAGCCCAAATCACACTTGTCCTTTTACATCTCTGTTCTCAGATTCATATTTTGATTCTGCTTCCAGGTCATACTGTCAATTTCCAAGCAGCCAAAAAGTTCAAAAATGGCCCCAGCAATGTTGCTATCCAGATGCTGACAGGGGAGCCTCCAGGGGAAGGGGTGTGAGGAGGAGCCCCTGGAGTCTGGCTCCAGGGGAGAGAGGGAGGAAAGCCCATTCTTGTGGGTTGTGGGGGGGCCCTCTGCAGTCCGGGCCCCGCCTCCTGGGATACACGGTTTGGTGTCTGATTCTCACATCCCCTCCACCCTTCTCGCTTTCTTCGCCCCAGGAGTACGTCGCCTACAGCCACACGGGCCGCATCATCCCCGCCATCTGGTTCCGCTATGACCTCAGCCCCATCACGGTCAAGTACACGGAGAGACGGCAGCCTCTGTACAGGTTCATCACCACGGTGAGTGGGTGGGGCCTGCTGTGGGCTCCTGCCTTGGCCCCTGCCGGTGCTGGAAGAAACAGGGTGCAGCCCTCAGGGCTAGGAGTTCAGGGTGCACACAGGGGCCTTGGACTCCTAGGGTGCTTAGAACTGTCATCAGAAGCACATCAATGCCGATGGCACTTCATCAAGAAAATACTCTCCAGCGGGAATGCCACTAAGTCAATGGAATTCCTTAGCAGATCTCTGCATGGCTCAATTAGATGTTCATGATTTTCTCCAGTGTTTTATTTTTATGGAAGTTATTCTTAGCAGGGTTTATCCTTTTCTGTGTAAATTTTACAGGGAAGATTTAACTCTTTTTTTTCCCCACATCCGACTTCCAACTATAGCTGCTGATATTGTCAGGTTTTTTCCTTTCTTTCCTTCCTGCCTATTCTCTTTTCTTTCTTTTTTGCCATTGTCTCCATCAAGTCCAGTGTTCTGGGGGGCAGGTTCAAGCTGAGGGCAGTTTTTTTTTGATGCTGATTTTTCTATCAAGTGTACTGTTTCCTGGCCTCCATTCAAAATGTCCTTGAGGTCAGAACACCAGCATCACAGTGCCCTGCCTCAGCCAAGAGGCCTGGAGATGTTTGGTAACCCAGAGTCAGCTGAGGGGGAAGAGATAGCGTGATTGTCCCTCCCTCACAGATTGGGAAACTGAGGCCTAAAGGCCCTCATGCTGCCATACAATGCCACTTCATACTTTTAATGATTCAAGATCAAGAGTCTAGTCCTGAATCTTTCATTTCCATCTCTGAATACATTTGTATTAGTTAAGACTCTGTTACAGATGAGACAGAACTCCACATCAAACTGGCTTGTGGGGTAAGTAGGCCTCAGGCATGGCTAGATCCAGGCACAAATGTCCAGAATAGGTCTTTCTTCATCCTGCTTTCCTCTGTACTGGCTTCCTTTTCAAATAGAATTTACCAGTAGAAAGTGCCTCTTTTTCAGTAATTCTACCCCAATCCTGGATAGGATAGTGCTGTCATTGGCCCAGCTCAGGTCCCATGCCATCCTTGTGGCCTGGAGAATGAATGCAGCAGTCCAGTTGGCCAGCCCCACCCAGATCACAAGGACAAAGATTGCGAGGGGGTGGAGTTCCCCAACAGGAAAACCAGGGGGCAGTTAGTAGAAGAGGCAAGAGTGGGAGCTGGGAGGTAAAACGGTCAGATATCTGCGGCGAAGCCTCCATCTCCTCACCCACGAGCTAGGAACAGTAATCCCAGCTCCTCCACCGCCCGGGGCCTTGCGGGGCTCGAGGGAGATCAGGAAAAGAAGCTCTTGGCAGTTACAGAAAGCCATGTGGGTACAGAGGGTGTCACAAGTCTGGCGCTTCCATGAGCCTCAGAACAGCCTTTTGCTGTTCTCTGACCCCAGAAAAATTTGAAACTTCTAATCGACAAAGGGCCCCTAACATAAAGCTAAAACACCAGACACGGATTGGGGAAAGATATTTGCCCCACATACAAGAAAGGAATAATCTTTAGAATTTGTATATGAAGTATTCCTGTAAGTCAGTAAGAAAAACTTAAGTAACCGAAAAGAAAAATGGGTCGGGACTCGATTATTCACAGAAGAGACCATACTGGCAGTGAAAAGATTCCAGAGTTCACTAGAAAGTGGGGGTATGAGATTCAGAACAAGACCCAGTTCAATCCTAAAAGACTGGCCGAGTGAGAGACCTGCCGCTCTCAAGATTGGGAGGCCGCACACAGGGGAGGCCACCTCTGGCCCCTGGTGCGTGGGTAAACTGGGCCGGCCGCTTTGGAGGGAGACGCACAAACCCTTTGACCCAAAAGTCGGAATTTGTGAGCAAGTGATTTTCCCTAAGGCCCCACAGCATCGCACCGCAGATGGGTCTTGGTACTGATTCTTACCCCTGTACTCCCCCTGCAGACCCAAAATAAGACAGAATCTGAGACATGAGTAGGGGCCTCTGTGCAGGTGTAGGTGTGGTCTGCTCCTCAGAGGCCCTGGGTCTGCGGCACTGACAGTGGCAGAGACACCCCTACGCCCACACCTCACTGTAGGGTTGAGAAGGCTCTTCATGTCCCCCTTCTTGTTGCTCCTGCATGCCAGACAGTGGAGGCTCTGATGTTGAGACCCCTTGGCAGGTGGCTGAGAAATGGAGAGTCTTCATTTATTTACTAAATGTTTGCTAGAATCTACCGCGTGCGGAGCCCTTGCTGGGCAGCAGGGATGGCTCAGTTAGACAGAATCCCTGCCCTCAAGCTGCTCCCCACTGGTGGGGGAGACGGGCGAGCACACAGAACTGCAGTCCCATCCTGCGGGGGCTCCACTGGAGCAGTGCCCCAGGCACAGCGGCGGCCAAGAGTCCCCTCTGGAAAGTTCCGAGAAGGAAACCCTGAGATGGGTCTTGAAGGGTGAGTAGACATTTCCTAGACTGGTGAGTAAAGGAGAGAGGCTCTGAGCAGAGGGAAGAGCACAGGTGCCCGCATAGCATGTCTTGTGGAGGCCACACGGCCTCTTTCCACGGGGATGGACTTCTGAGAGCTGGAGGTCCTCAGGAGTCACGGGGCAGAGCCTGTCCTCCGTCACCCAGAGGCTGAACACTTGCTCCTCCCTCTGCCCTGTCCAGCTCCGCCTGAGCGTGGCCAGCTGCAGGGGGCCTCCTGACAGCCTCAGCCTGCTGGCTTTTCTGAAGGCCTCACGCTGCCATCCTGGTTGCCGCAGCAACCGTGGGGTCAGCCCTGAGGGAGCCAGCCGGCTGTCCCTGGCAGATGGCGTCATTGTGGAGCTTCAAAGGCCCTTGTCACTGGGCAGCAGATGTGGGGATGGTGCTCGCACGCAGACATGCAGCACAGAGACCCCAGGAGCCCTTGCGCATTGGGGTGGGGCCAGGGTGGAAGTGGAGGCACCTGCTGTGACTTCTCTTTCTCTCTTTTTAAAATCAAACACTTGCGTGCAAAGCCCCTGAACCCCAAATGGGGGCCTCTGCAAATAGCTCCTCAGAGGGGCTGCTGAAGAGGGGGCTTAGGCCAGGATGTCGTCATGTGGCGGCTGCAGGGCTGCAGAGGCAGCTGTGGGTGGGCTGGAATGAGGTGTCGGAGCAGCCGGGGGGTGTGGAAGGGAGAGGCAGGTGGGGCCTCCCCGATGCATTTCTGAATATCAAGTACCTGGCCTATTCAGGGTTGCCCTTCCGAGGTCTTATGGGCTAGAAAGGACCTGTCCATCCTGAGCCTGAGCGGAGGAACATTCTTCCTCCAGAAAGTCTCCCCCAGGCTGCCCGGGGCTCCCCTCTTTGGCCCCCAGGGCACCTTGCTCAGACCTCTGCTTTGTGCTGTTCCGGAAAATTCCACCACTAAGGGAATAAACAGATGGTGTTTAACAACACGCAAGTGACCCCTTCGAAGCACCTCCTCCCACACGCACATTTGTCCCCTGCCACTTGCTGAAGCCCCTGTTTTGAGATTGCCTTCAAGTGGGTGGTGTTGACAGATTGGATGGCTTCACATTTGTCGCATGTCCTTCCTTGTGTGTTATATTCTACTGGGGGAGCAGCCAAAAGTCACAAAGTGCCAAACTGGGCCAGTATGGCCATGACAGTTTTTGCCCAACAAAAAGTACCAGCTGGTAATGACGTGCTCCCCTTGGGCAGCAGGGATCGCTGAAGTGGACACAGTCCCTGCCTTCAAGGTGCTCCTTGCCGGTAAAATAATCCCCCAAACTTTGGGTCATGCTTCATTGCTGCCAGGCCTCAGTATGATGAGCTCCAGGTCAGATCACCTCTGTGTCGCCAGCATCCAGCGCGGGGCCCAGACTGGATGCAGGTGCTCAGAAACATACAAGCGACAGCTGCTTGAGGAAGCGATCATAGAGCTGTGCTTATTAAGCATCCACTATGTGCTGGGCAATTTTATAATTGTCTCCTTTAACCCTCCCAGGAACCCTCCAAGGTAGGTGCTATCATTCCTGTTTTATATATGAATTAGCTGAGGCCCAGAGAGGTAAAGGAAGTCATCCAAGATCACACAGCCAGTATATGGCAAGGCTGGGACTTGACCTCAAAGCCCACCTCTGCCACATCCCCCACCCCCTCACCCAGTTCAGGAGCCTCCATCTTCCAAAACCAAGGCTCTCAAGGATGTTCCAGCCACAGAACCCTTGGTCAGACACCTGGGTCATTTGATACAGTGACTTGCGTCCTGGGACTCAGGAAGAAATATCATAGCAGGAAACAAGGTGATATTGTGAACATGTGTGATGAAATCAATCAAGCACATGCAAACCATAGAAAAAGCAAGCTGTCCGTCTCAGGCTTTTGGCTGGTGGTTCTCTAGTGTTCCTGCCGGTGTCTGAATGCCTTTCACTCATCTGTTTGGAGACCTGCACAAATCTGCCATGGAAGGCAGCAGGTGCCTGGGGCAGGGGGACAGTAAAAGGGATGGAGAGGACACAACCTGAGAAGGGTTTCCCCACTGACGTTGTGTGAGGTGGGAAAAGGGCAGCTTTGTAGCTGGATGGCACGGCGGCCTTTCCAGAGCCTCGGTTCTTCCTGCTCAGACTTTCCTCCTGTGTCTCTCTCCCCAGGACCGTGAGCTGCAGGACGCAGGCCTGGCTCTTAGTGAGCCCTGGTCTCCGGGCCTGGGAAGCACAGGCGGGTGATGAATAGATGTCAGGCAGTGAGCAAACAGATGGAGGGGCGTACCCCTTGGTCCAGCCCTAAGACAATTTCTATCATCTGAGGAACAGAGCAGAATGCAAATTAGCGGCTCGGTTATTCGGGTTTGGAAATGTGCAAAAACCTTTGGTTCAGATCCTTCCGGACGTTTGAGCAGAGCTGGATCTTCCAGAAGGCTCTGTACCAGGGATGGTTTGCTCCAGCTGGTCTGAACACATAGCTGTGTTGGAACAGAGGCTCCTGCTGCTTGCTTTTCTGAGGCACATTCTGAGATGTGTATGAGGAACGTTAGAATGGGATGGATTCTGTTTTACAAACTGCACTTACTCGTACA